ATGCATATTCTGCAAGAACAACTAAAATATATTTGGCAGTGGCAGTCGGATAGACATACCCAGCGGCACTCAGAGCTTACTCTTGACTCTGCACTCAGGGGTTATTCCTGGAGGGGCGTGAGGAACCATATGGGATGCCAGGGATCAAACCCAGGTTGGCCGCATGCAAAGCAAATGTATTTCTTTAGACTAAACAACTTAATGGATAATTTTGTCTACTAATCTACCTAGCATATAAAATGAAGTAAATACTTCTATATATATATATACAACAATAAAAAAAGGGGGGGGGGAGTGGGCACAACATCTTTTAACAATTCAGGAACTAGTTCATGTTTAAAAAATCTAAAAGTTGCTGGCAACAGAGAGATAGTACAACAGTAGGGTGCTTGCCTTGAATGTGGCAGATCCAGGTTAGAATGCAGGCACCCTGAATGGTTCCCTGAGACCTGCCAAGAATGATCCCTGAGGGCAAAGACAGGAGTAAGCCTTGAGTACAACTGGGCATGTACCAAAAAAAGAAGGAAAAGAATTATGTAAAGTCAGGCCAGGGGGTGCTGAAGAGAAAGCACAGCGGATAGGGCGTTTGTCTTGCACGCGGCCGACCCAGGTTCGATTCCCAGCATCCCATATGGTCCCCTGAGCACCGAGCCAGGAGTAACCCCTGTGCAACTCCAAGTGTGACCCAAAAAGAAAAAAAAAAAAGTCAGGCCAGAGAGATACTATAGTAGGGACGGTGCTTGCCTTGCATGTGGACAGCCTGAGTTTGGTCCCTGGCACCACATGTAGTCACCTAGACTTAATGCCTGGACATAGAGCCAGGAATGGAAAAAAAAATCCAATCCTCCCACTCCAAAAAAATAAATTCTAAAAGTTGTTAACCAACTTACATGTGATATGCCAGAGCATTTTTTTTTTTGGCTTTTTGGGTCTTACCCGGCAATGCACAAGGGTTACTCCTGGTTTTGCACTCAGGAATTATTCCTGGCGATGCTGAGGGGACCATATGAAATGCTGGGAATCTAACCCGGGTTGGCAATGTGTAAGGCAAATTTCCTACCCACTGTACTATCACTCCAGCCCCCTGAGAGTATCTTTAATCCAAACATGGCGTGAAGAGTTTTATTCATTTTTGTTTATAAAAATTGTCTCTTTCTGGTTATTTTTAGATTAATCTTAATTCGGACTTCACAAGTCAAGTGAACTGTCAATTATATGTCAAAGGGGCTAGAGTGTTAGCACAGCAGGTACCGCCAGGAGTAATTTTTGGATCCCTGCGTGTGACCCCCCCCAAAGAAGTTGAAGATATGAGATTTCAAATGCAATAAATATCAGGTCGAACACAATAACACAATCATGTTTCAGAAAACTGTCAGTTTGCAAGAATCTTTGGGCTGTATAATGCATGCAGCAGTAATAGTTTCTAGGTTGTGGCCTGGGAGAGCAAAGGCTGAGCATTTTGCATGCATGCAGAAGAACCAGGTTGATCCAAATAGGACCACAAGATGTGGTAGAAATGACAAAACTAATTTGGGAATACTTGTATCTTGTTCCAGGAATACTCACATATTAATTTTATTATCTCTCCTGAACCTTTTCCTCAATTTCACAGTTAATAAAATGCTGAAATGTACAACCCCCTTCCCCCCCAAATATCACCTAACATCAAATCTTGAAGTTTTTTGGTGAAAATAGAATTCATAGAATTCCTTAGAAAAAGCTGAGATTGAGAGGCAGGGGTAAGAAAGCTGGGTAAATAAGCCTTTTTTTTTTTAAAAAAAAATAAGGCTATTTTACAAAATACATATTCTGTAACTATGTTTATTGGATTCAAAGTTATTTTATGCCAAAGGGAGAAAGAAACTAGACCAGTTTCCATCTAAAGTTTTTCACCTTTTTCCAACTGTTCACCACATCTAGCATTTGTGTATGTATCTATAATATCACTGTCAAAATGATTGGGGCTGGAGAGACATTACAGTGTGTAGGGTGACTGCCTTGCACACAGGTGACCCGGGTTTGATCCCCAGCATTCCATATGGTCCCCAGAGCACCACCAGGAGTGATTCTTGAGTGCAGTCAGGAGTAACCCTGATCACCAGGAGTGATTCCCACACGCCACCCACCAACTTTATTAGTCATTGAAAGCACATAAAACTTATCAAGAAAAAAACAACTTATCGAGAGAGGGAAAGAACACCCAGAATATTGGAGTTATCACTGGTCATCATTGTGGGGCATTTATGCTCATACTATTCTTTCAAATAGGCTGTACTTATGGTTCATTAGGATAAAATACTAATGAATACTGCTTTAAGTGTAATATTCAGAATACCATTATCAACAAAAAGTACAACCCCCTTCCCCTGCAGCTTAACTAAATGAGTCTGCAATCCAGTAAGATCCTTCAGGTGACAGCATATTCAAGTTTGAAGGTCAACTACAAATAGTTTACTTTTCCTGCTATAAATAGATGTGCTTTAAATTATTTTAATCACGGTCCTCCCGTTGTTCATCGATTTGCTTGAGCGGGCCTAGTAACATCTCCATCATGAGACCTGTTGTTACTGTGTTTGGCATATTGAATGTGTCACGGGGAGCTTGCCAGGCTCTGCCGTGCGGGCGAGATACTCTCGGTAGCTTGCCGGGTCCCCCGAGCACCGCCAGGAGCAATTCCTGAGTGCATGAGCCAGGAGTAACCCCTGAGCATTGCTGGGTGTGACCCAAAAAGCAAAAGAAAAAAAAGAAAAAAAATTTTAATATAGGAAGAAATTAGGAAAGAATGTTTGGTTTTCTTTTGGGGGGTAGGGGTGGGAAGGAGGCCCACTCAGTGATACTAAAGCCTTATTCCAGGCGCAGATCTCAGGGATCACTCCAGGCAGTACTAAGGAAACCATTTGGTTTTCTAAATATCATATCAAGAATTAATTTCAAACTTCCATATAATTTCATAAAAATGTAAATGAGCAGTGAATTACTAAAGTTTCCAATGAAATTAACCTATAGGTAAACTGGTAAAGATACCCAGAAAGCTCCAGCAATTGGCGTTTGCCTTGCACGTGGCCGATCCAGGTTCAATTTCTGTCCCTCTTGGAAAGCCCGGCATATCCGATATGCCAAAAACAGTAACAAGTCTCTGAATGAAGAGATTTCTGGTGCCCACTTGGCAAATCAATAAACAGGAGGACAGTGCTACATTTTTGTGGGAGGGGAGTTGGGAGGTTGAGCCACACCTACCGTGTTTAGGGCTTACTCCTGACTTTGTTCTCAAGGTTCACTCCTGGAGGGCTCAGGGGACCATTTAGGGGACCATTTAGGCCATTTAAGGACTGAACCTGGGCTGGCCAATTGTAAGGCAAGCGCTTTACTTGCTGTACTATCTCTCCAGGCCCAATTTAATAAAACTTTATTGTGAATCCCCGAATTTGAAAACCTTCCAAAGTTCAATGAACCACAGAATAACCTAATCTCAACTAATATCAAAACTATGAAGTTCTTTATGCCACTAAAAACATTGTTGTTTGGGTGCAGAAATATTTGTGGTTTATATTTTTTAATTTCTCGCAGTTTGGGGGCCACTCCCAGTAGTGCTCTAAAGACTAAACCGGGGTCAGTCCCATGCAAGACAAATATGCCTTAACCTCTATACTATCTCTCCAGCTCTTACTACAGAAATATTAATGCATAAATTTGGAATCTCACTGGAGATATTATGCATTACATGGATATGCGCAGTAAAAACCAAAGGAAGGAAAATACAATCTACCTGATTTATCTTCCTGGTAATGCAATCAGAGAGACAGTCCAACAATGTTCTCTATGCAGGAGGCCAGGTTCTATCCCCAGGACCAGTCCCTCCGCACTGACAGGGGCAACCCCTGAGCACCTCTGGAAGTTGCCCAAAAGGTCAAACACTGGTAACAAAGCTTGAACAAACTTCATGCTAACTAACACCTATAAATCAGGAACAACCTAGTATGGGTCAGAGAGCTAGAATGGGGGGTAGGGTTTTTAGGCCATACCCAAGGATGCTTAGCAATGACCCCAGATATTTTAGGGATCATAGGAAGTGCTGGTATTAGAACCAGATTACCTGGTCGCATACCCTTCTCACCCTCTACAGCCCTGAATGAATTTTAAATGCAAAGTGGCATATGACTGACATTTTCCCTAAAGAAACCAGAACACTAAAAAGGCGTATCTCCATAGATGCATAGATTATCCACATTAATGTAAGTGATCTCTGAGCTTTATTTACTAATATTTATAAAAATCATTAAAAAACTGTCTTATATTTTCATGTTATGTTTTCTAGTATGCACCACAATTACAACATGATGCCATTTATTGAACAAAACTCTGAAAGAATGAGTCCCCAAGATCAAATATATACATTTTTTAATATTTGAAATATTTACATAATGGAACCATGTCATGGCCCAGTATTAAGAACAGTGTCTTCAAATGTCCTCTTCAGATGTTAAAAAAAAAAAAATCTAGTAACTCAAGCTCTATTATGCTTTTGTAAAACCCCTTCACACTTTCTTTCATTGAAATAAATATACCAGACATGGGAGTAGCTGCACCTAATTTATGTTAAAAACTGTTTAAATCTTTTTACATTTTACATTTTCAGGTAACCTCAGTCCTTGGAGAAGTTCTGATCTACAATAAAGAAAGCCCCAGTATGTCTTAAGTACACCATCAGTATATTTCTAAACCTTGATGAGAGGTAAACAAAATGTCAGTACGTATACTCACACAAGGTATGCTTTACAAAGCAAAAATTAAAACAAAAACTTAGTGATAGCTGCCCTAACAGTTTACTTTATCCTTAGAAATAAGACGCAACTGGCCATGCTGGACTCTGCGATTCCTCTTTGAATGACCTCCTGAATTTTGTTAAACTTCGCTAGTTTTTAAATCTAATTTTGTTGTTTTAAGATTTTTCCCCATCACTCCATTCTGTGAATTAAGACTTTTTTAAAAAAAGAAAAAACAAAACAAAAAAGTACACCAAAATAAAACTTAGGACCAGTTAGTGCAAAATTACATTAAATAAAGCTCTCCAGAATTTAAGGGTCTGCCTCATTTCTAAACAATGAAAGGTGGATGGGGTTTGGGAATAAGGAAGGAGGCAAACCACCATGATTCATATCTTCTTCAAAGGACATAGCAGGCTATAGGAAAACCCCATCACATTTAGCAGACTGTTGCTTGCCAATAGAGAGTATTATGCTCTGGGAAAATAATAATCTAATTATCTCAGACATTTGAGTTGGCACAATACTTTGTTTTCTTTATGATCCTATTTTTCAATTTAAAAACATAAAAGGGAGCCCTACAAATCAAATTAGGAAAAATAAGACTTTTATACATACATCCACACAAACACATTCGTACAGAGATACAGTAGAGATGGATTGTCTGCTAACTTGCACACCCCCTTTTAAATTCCTAGCCTTGAATAGGGTTTACCATTTCTGATCACGGGGAAATGGGTAAAGATGTGACTGGTATTATTTGAATTAAGATCATTGCGATTGGTTCTCATACAGTACAGTTCAATATTAAGTGCAATTCTGCAAAATAATTGGGGAGTCATTTTAATATTTACAAGGAACAAATCAGCAGAACAAGATTATATCAGATAGGCTGTATACAGTAGCTGTGGCTTATAAAACATTACCAGTAATTTGTACCTGGCGAGTATAAAGAGAACCAACATAGGATCGGATGACTTTACAACCAAGGGAGTACACAGGGCATCAACAAATTAGAGGACAAAAAAAATTCACATTTTCTACATTAAAAAAAATTACAGATGTCACAACTGTCTTTGAAGACAAAAAAATTCAAAGTCCATTGAAGAATGGAAAAGAAGAAATCTGAAATGGAACACTAAATGTAAAAAGTTTTACTTCACAAGACCAATTTTCTTGGCTTCTGTTTCATATATCAATAATCTCCACATTTTGACTATAAAAACTTCTGCTTCTTCATCAAGTACCTAGGGAGAAAAACGAAAAACAGTATAAGAGATCTAAGATAACAAGTACCTTCTAACAATAGTCACTGATATAAAAACTACTAATAAAGAAAATATGGGTTGTGTGAAAATTAAACAGTAGCTTATGAAAGTAATAACACAGCATTTAAATATGCCTGGAAAAAAATATTTCCTAGAAAAAGGTAATGACTGTTGCAAAGAACAAATTTATTTAGGCAGACCCACAGAATAATTACAATAACATTATCTCACAATCTCATGACCTATTGAGCAATACACAAAGATTAAATGAGGATATTTATAAAGCATTTACTACAGTATCTGGGACACAGTAAACAGAGTAAGCAAACAGTATTTCAAGTTCTGACAAAAAGTCCCCCCCCCTCCAATCTTGTTAAATTAAGGTCAAATCATCTCTCTACTTTAAGTTAGATGAAACATGTTTCCGCCTCATCTACTGTATTCATCCCACACATACTTAAGATCCAGGCTGTCACTGTTTAATGACAAAATGGATAGCCTAAAGTTCCTGACTTCTGAAGAGACACTTCAGGCTGGGTACAAGAATCAGATCTATTGTTAGAATAACAATAGAGTGTGTTCAAATCCCACTCCTATTTTGAACTATTTACATGCTGGGTTGGGTTTCTTAATGACACCTGTAAAACGGAGAAATAAGTAGATATATCATACTAGAGAATCCTACTATGTGGAGTCAATGTATGCCAAAGACTTGAAAAGTGCCTAGTTCATAAGTGATTTTAAGACTACAAAGAGTCAGAAATTTTAATTTCTTTGATAAATTCCTTAATTTCTCCTGGCTCTGTGCTCAAGGTTCTCTTCTGAGAATCGTATGTGGTGCTGGGCATGGATTCTGAGTCAGGAGCATGCAAGGTAAGCCTGATATACTCTCTCCAGCCCCCTCCCTGACTCATCTTACCAGTGTCCTTTGAAACATTATCCCTCTTTACACTAACAATTTAGTCTTTACATCTTTTTACCTAATGTTTACTAAAGAAATGTTCTGGCGGCCAGTCAATTGTATGTGGTAATGCAGGTACTATCCCTAGTACCACACAGCTTTCACCAAGCACCAATGAGACCACCCTCTACAACAGGCAAAAACAGAATTTTGGGGGCTGAGGATGTAATTGTAGAGTAGTAACACACTTGCCTTAAATGTGAAGACCTGAACTTGATCCCCAGAACTCACCCCTTCCCCAACCCACACAAAAAAATATGGGACCTCCTATAGATCATGAAACTCCAGAAAGTTCAAATTCAGAATTTCCTCAACAGAAGGGAAAAAGCAGGATACCCAGTATTTCTATCTTTATATACATAATCTGCATTTAAGTTTGCAAGATTGCATTGTATCATCCTTTTACTCCAGTAATAGCCATCTAGCAAATGTTTAGTTTTCAACCATATTAAATGAGCACTCTAATAGCTGGTTTCAATGATTTCTATCCAACTGCAGTGTCAACATCCAGAAATTAAAATTTCCTGTGCATGACCCAGGCTTAAAAATCAACTGATACCCAATGGTACTCAAAAAAAAAAACAAAAAAAGACATTTAGTTTTGTCCCAGAAACACTCTTTCATGGTCAGAATTAGTATTTTATACTTTGCCATTATTTGAACTAATCCAAGCTTTCATTCTTTAAAAATCTACTCACTCAGGAGTCAGAATAGTATAGTATGTAGGGCATTTGCCTTTCACCCAGCCAACCGAGGTTCAATGTCTGCACCTTATATGCTACTCTGAGCCCACCAGGAGTAATTCCTAAGTGCAGAGCCAGGAATTGAAGTACAGACCAAAATAAAAAAATCAATTTGCTAAATAAAAGCCTATTCACCACTATAATCTTATTTCCAGAAGATTCACTCAAACATATCCCACACAATTTCCTTGGCTTATATGAAACAACAGTACTGTTCTGATACTACTTTCTACTATTCCTAGTTTACCATTCATACACATAACCATCACATACTCTCATCAATTATTATTTGCCCCTTTTGCACAAAATCATAGCATTTAAGGGGGGAGAGGCTGGAACAATAGTACAGCGAGTAGGGTGCTTGCCTTGCATATGGCTGCCCTGAGTTTAATCACTGGAATTCCATATGGTCTAGTGAGCTCCACCAAGGAGTGAACCCTGAGCACAAAAGCCATGAACAAGCACAGAACACTGCCCCGTGTGCCCCAAAACCAAACAACCAACCACAAAGAACAATCACTGAATCGATTCTAACACCATAATTAAATGGAACTGAGGATCTGATGTTTAACTGCTAACCCAGAACGCATACACAACAAAACAGATAAATATTTCTTCATATCTCCTTAACCTGTTTTACCTGTGATGCTTCCACATATTCCTAACTGCCTTTAATACATCAGAAATACTGTCTCCTCTGCTTCCACTCTATTAGCACATGTATTGCATAGTTTAAGATGATATATTCTTCATCTTATACTACAGAGACTGGCACACATCCAATAGAATAAGAGCAACCAGTGCTGCTGCGATTGTGCTGAGAAAGGGATTCTTCTTCACTGCTGGCAGAAATGCCAACTGGTCCAGCCTTTTTTGAAAACAATATGGACATTACTCAAAAAAACTAGAAATTGAACTCCCATTTAACTCAGCAATACCACTTCTGGGAAATAAACCCTAGGGGCCCAAGACACACACCAGAAATGTCATTTGCACTTCAATGTCCATTGCAGCACTATTTACAATAGCCAGAATTCAGAAACAACCCAAGTGCCCAAGAACAAAAGACTGGACAAAGAAAATACGGTACACCTACACAACAGAATACTATGCAGCTGTTAGGGAAGAATGAAGTCATGAAATTTCCTCATAAATTGACTGGCAGGGACAGTATCACGTTGAGTGAAATGAATCAGAAACACAGTGGCAGGTATAAAATGATTGCATTCATTTGTGGGATATCATATATACAGTCACTGTCATTGTCACTGTCATCCCGTTGTTCGGCAATTTATTCGAGCGGGCGCCAGTAACGTCTCCACTGAGGTTTAACAGCCTTTCCTTACTTGTCTTTTCCCAACAATTGGAGGCTCTTTCAGGTAAAGGGAATGAGACCTGTTGTCGTTACTGGTTTTGGCATATCGAATACGCCACAGGGAGTTTGCCAGGCTCTGCCCGTGTGGGCAGGATACTCTTGGTAGTTTGTCAGGCTCTCCGAGAGGCATATATTTATATATTTCTATGATTTGTTGCCTGTCTGAACCCCATCAAATATGGTGTGGCAATTATGAAAAATGGTGTGTCCTATAATGTGTCTCATGGCCGAGCGGTCCAGAAAGCGGCCTGGAGCATGGCGGCGGTTGGGTAATGGTGGTAGGCTGCCGGGGCTGGGTACCTTGGGGCGGGGAGGGCTCTCACCTGCCCCACTCTGCTGGCCATGATCATATATATACAGTATGGAACTTACATCCAAGGTGAGGTCAAATAGGGGCCAGAAAGACAGGTCAAAGGTTGGGCGCTTACCACAAGAGTGTGTGTGGGGTGAAGGGCACAGTAAATGGATATACCTGATAATCTTTTATCTTCATTGCAAACCATAAGGCTCCCCCAAAGGTGTGGGGGGAAGGAGAAAGAGAAAGGGGGGGGGGAGAGAGAGAGAGAGAGAGAGAGAGAGAGAGAAAGAGAGAAGAGGGACGGAGAGGGAGAGGAAGACAGAGTGAGACTGAAAGAGAGAGCAAGAGAGCGCGAGAGAGCAAGAGACAGTGAAGGAGAGGGAGGGGGGGAGAGAGAGAGAGGGAGAAGCTATTTGCCATAGTGGCAAGCAGTGCAACAGCAGGAGGGAAACTAGGACCATTGGTGATACGAAAGTACACTGGTGAAGGGACACTTATTGGGACATTATAAAGCTGAAATCCAATCATGAGCCACCTTGTAAATGTCACTGTGATACAATTAAAAAAGTAAATGGGAAAAAAATGAGATATTCCACCTTTTTTCAAGTCTTTTACCAAATCTCTCTTCACAGTGAGCAATGTCTAAATGTAATGACAAAGCCCAGAATCTGCATTTATGCAAACAGTGAAGGCAGAAGTGGGTAGAATTGGGTAAAAAGAAAACTAAGTTTACTTTTATCAAATGATAACTTGCTGAATCTCTTTATTGTTTTAATACTTTAAACATAGAATTGTTTTTTGTTTGTTTGTTTGTTTTTGCTTTTTGGGTCACACCCAGCAATACTCAGGGGTTACTCCTGGCTCTGTACTCAGGAGTTAGTCCTGGCAGTGCTCGGGGAGTCATACGGGATGCCAGGGATCAAACCCAGGTTGGCTGCGTGCAAGGCAAACGCCCTCCCCGCTATGCTATTGCTCCACACAAACACAGAATATTTTAACTGATAGCTATAAAAATATCTGGAACCAAAATTGGTTAAAAAAAAAAAAAGGAAGTTATTAAGGCCAAAACAATAGTAAAGTGAGTAGGGAGTTTGCCTTGCATGCAGCCAACTTGGGATTGGATCCCAGCATCCCTTATGGTACCCTGAGCATCCCCAGGTGTGCCACCTCACCCAAAAAAAATCAAGTTCTATGCTTAAAATTTAAATATTAATAACTGAATTTTTAACTTACCATAGCAACATCATCTAAAATGCTCTGAGGTGAACTATGAGCCATAACCTGAAAAAGAAATAAAAGAATGTCCATTTGAAAATTTAAAGTTAGCAATGCACTCAGGGAATGTTAGATACAAACAAACAAGTAATTTTCTTTTGAGGGGGGCTGAATAATCTGTGAACACATCTCTCAGTATCTTCCATCACACCGTAAGTTTCAACCTTAATCACTACTATCTTCCAAACCAAACTGAAACCTAAAAAGAGGCTATCTCTAATGTGAAAAGAGCAGTGCTTACCAAATCTTAGTGTTCTCAATAAAATACAATTGGTTTTCCCTGATAGTTTATTAAAAACATAAACTTGCAAGGCCAAATAGAAAATAGTTCAGGAAGGAAACTTGCATTGTAAATGGCAAACACAGGTTCAATCCCTGGCACCAACCCCTGCAAGAAATGATCCCTGAACACAGAACCAGAAATCAGCCATCAGCACTGCTCAGTGTGGCTCAAAAACAAAGCAAAGCAAAAATCCAGAAAAAAAAATTGCCATTAAAAATAATGGAAGGATGAGGTAAACCAACGTGGCTGAGCTCAAGTTTACAGAAACAGCTCGTTACTTATAACCATGGTCAGACACACTCTAGGGGCTGGTGAGAAAATTCAATAGGCTGAGCACAGCCTTAGGATACAGGAAAACTGGGTTCAATCCAGCACAAGAACCAATGACCAAACTCCTCCAGAGCAGCCCTGGGTATGGCCCCCAAATCATCAACGAAAAGCAAATACGGCAAGTTTCTCCTCCAATCACATGAATGGAATAAAGGGGATGACGTGCCACCAGCAGGTCAACCTGTACCTGCAGAGCAAGTGCACCAGTAGCCTGATAATGCCTCCAGGCTTCCCTATACATCAAAATTGCCACCGTGCCTCTGGTCGGACTCCAACAACTTGGGACACCAAGTTTCCAGAAAAATTAAATGACCAAAAGTTAGGTATGTGGGAGCCATACCCACAAACCACCTCCAGCTCTGCTGTACAAGCTCATTTAACAACCTTGCTTTAGAGACCCATAAATAAATCTCGAAAGAAATCAAAAGCCGCAGTTAACCTCAGATCCTCAAAAGGCTGAACAACAGGGTAAACTGGAGGGGGTGGATTAGCCTGGTGCCTGCCCCAGAGCCCCTGACAGCTGCTTGTTTCTCTGGAAGGACCTCACTAAAATAATCTGCTGAAAATTTGGGCATATGGGTTTTATGACTGAAATCTCCAGGCTTTCTCAGGATTGGGATGGGCTACCTCCCCTCACCTCCCTGTACTTCCAGAAGCCTCGGTAGTCATGTCTATCACAAAGTTGCTACCCAGTTAAGCAACTCCAGTCTTAAGTTCCCAATAAAATTACTGAATGCCCTGAATAAACACAATGACCTCTTAGTACCTGTACTGCAAATCATAATGCACAAAAGGAGGAAGGTGGGGAGTGTTGGGCGATGGTAGAAGGGAAACAAGGGACACTGGTAGTAGGAAATGTACACTGGTGAACAGATAGGTGTTGGATCATTGTATGACTGAAACCCAATCATGAACAGCTTTGTAATGGTCTATCTCAAGGATATTCAATTAAAATTTAAAATAAGAAAATTTCACTGTCCTCCCGTTGTTCATCGATTTGCTCGAGCGGGCCCAGTAACGTCTCCATTTTGAGACTTCTTGTTACTGTGTTTGGCATATCGAATACGTCATAGGTAGCCTGCCAGGCTTTGCCGTGAGGGCGAGATACTCTCAGCAGCTTGCCAGGCTCTCCTAGAGGGGCAGAGGAATCGCGGAGGAATCAAACCTGGCTTGGCCAGCCAGCCGCACACAAAGCAAAAGCCCTACCGCTGTGCTATTGCTCCAGCCCAAGAAAATTTTAAAAATTTAAAATACAATGAATGAAATACTATTACACATCTTGAGATTGTTGCAGATTTCAGTAAGTGTACTTAACAATCTTTTAGCTGAAACTAAATTATCACAAATGGACCCAGTAACATTGTGAGACTTGTTATTGTGTTTGGCATATCGAATACACCATGGGTAGCTTGCCAGGCTCTCCGAGAGGGGCGGAGCAATCGGTAGGGCATTTACCTTGCAAGCTGCCGGCCTGGCCGAGCCAGGATCAATTCCTCCACCCCTCTCGAAGAGCCCGGCAAGCTACCGAGAGTATTCCGCCTGCATGAAAAAGCCTGGCAAGCTACCAGTGATGTATTCGATATGCCAAACACAGTAACAAGTCTCATGATGGAGACGTTACAGGGCCCACTCGAGCAAATTGATGAACCACGGTAGAACAGTGCTACAGTGCTAAATTATCACAAATTTGGCACTTCAAGAACTTTTGTTGTAGAAAGTAATATTTTAAAGTAGAAAACAATGTTAAGGAGGCCCAGCAGACAGTGCCAAGGTTTGAGCCCCCTGCCCTGCAGTTACCTGAACCCCACAAGAATAACTCCTGGTACAGCCAGCTTAGGCTCAAAAACTCTATCCCCAACATGCTATTCTCGCCAATTCAAACCAATGTTGGGGGAGTGGGGAATAAAATACTAACCTTAGAACATACAAAATCAACTAATGTAGCTTCTTCTTCACCTATGTATTCTATGATTTTCTTATTAATCCACGGTCTAATCCGTCGTTCCATCAGTATCTGCAAAATTTTGCATGGTTACTAATTAAAGACAACATTATTCTATATACTACAAAACCAATTAGTCCTTTGATACATTTTCCTTAAAACTAAAACAAGTAAAAAATTACATTAAGGTATATATCAAGAAAAAATCATTTGCTTCTAGATTATAAAGTTTCATCAAGAATTTTTCCAGTAATCTGAATTCTATGGGGAAAAGGTGAAATAGCTAGAAAGAGCCAGAAATGCTTGCTTTGCATGCGCTAGGTCCCAAGTCCAATTCCCAGCACCACATCACATTCCACCCCTTTCCCCTAAAGCACCACTAGGTATAGCTCTGGTGACCCAAAGAAACACCACATGCTAGGCCCTAGGACTCAACTATTTGGTTGTCATTGCCAAAAGAGAAATACTGCCGTGAGAGGCCACCTGCTTTCAAAACACTACACCAAGAGCCACTTCTTGGATGGGGTGGGGGTTCTACCAAATTTCTTAATCATGACAATCACTGAAGGTAAAGAATCCAGCACATAGGGCTGGAACTATAGCACAGCATATAAGGAGTTTTGCACACGGCCGATCCAGTTTCAATTCCCAGCATTCCATATGGCTCCTGGGCACCTCCAGGAGTAATTCCTGAGTGCAGAGACAAGAGTAACCCCTGTGCATCTCTGGATGTGAGCCAAAAAGGAGGGGATAAAAAAAAGAATCCAGACACATTATTATTCCCGTTATTTATAAAATCAAGTATATGTGCTCAGTCAAGATCATTCTCAGTAACAAAATAATTTGCTACTCACAGAATCCACAATAGACCAATCCAGAGGATAAGCAAAGAGCTCAGGTTTGGCTGTAGGAATTTTCTCAATGAGACTTTTAATGTGTTTTCGTTTTTCTTCAGTGTTTACAGTGCCTTTGGCAGCATTTTTATCATCTTCACCATAATCCAATGGAACCAGTTTCCTTTTTCGGGGTACATCATCACTGTCTTCATCCTCAAATTTATTAAAGACGCTATCTACAGGGAGTTTCTTTCTCTTCACAGAATTAGGTTGACCAGGACTATTGGAAGCACCTATATTAAAACCAATGTGTTAATATGGCGACTTAATTTTGAAATAATACACTTTATGAACCCACCTTCCCTCAAAAAGACAAAGTATACTTCCATATATCTCAGAGGAAGATCCCAACTGTAAAAAAATAACTCACTACTCACAAGTGCTAGAAAATTTAACTTTTCACTTCTTCTCAGAAGTCGAAGCAGCTGCAGATATAGGAGCACTAGTAGAACTATGAAAACAATCGTGAGCTAGAAAGGCATTTTGAAAATATTTATCTATCTACCTACCTAGCAGAATATTAATCTTTTCCTTCAAGGCAAAAATTTAGGAATTTTTTAGAGGATAAAAAGTAAACAATGAAGGAAATCAATGTTAAATAAATAAACAATGAAGGAAATACCTAGTTTAAGACTCAGTCCTATTTTTGGCCTATGCTCCTCAGGTTGTTGCTGATCTGGTGAATTTTCATGAGGAATAATAATACCACAGGGAGACTCATCCCCAGGAGTATTTGGGGTTGCATTGCCACTGGCAGAGGAAACAGATGGGGCAGAACTGATAGGTCTCAGAGTTGGTTTCAGGCAGGGCTTTTGCTCAGGCTCTTCTTCCTCTTCTACAGGTTCCTCTCGTTTTTCTTCCTTTTCTTGCTTTTCCTCTTCTTCTTCCTCTGATTCTGGTTCTTGCTTTATTTGAGGTTGTCTACGCCTTTCGGCCTCTTGTTCCATCTAAAACCAAAAATTAATCCAATAAGCATAAATAGGGCACAACTGGACTACCAGCTTTTTATTATCATCGTTCATAAAAATCTCCATTTTCCCTTTATATTAGGAATAAAGAACTATTCATTTCACTATAAATCAGTACAGTACAAATTTTACATTAATTCTCCATTGCCTTGTAAATGCTTGGAAATAAAGTAAGCAGAACTGCTAAGTTCAAAATGAAAAAGCATGTTTATAATATCTTTATTAAAGAAAAACAGGGGTCAAAGTCAAAGTACTGGTATGTATGTGAGTAACCCAACTTGATCCACAGCACCCATATGGTTCTGCAGCAACACCAGGAGTGATTTGTAAGTGGAGAACAATGAGTAACCCGAGTATGGCAGCCCCATTAAAAAATAAAGTAAAAATAAAAACCCGAAACAAAATCAAGATTTGTTTAGCTTTGGTTTTTGGACCATAGTCAGTACTTCTGAGGGCTACTCCTAGCTATGGAATTATTCCTGGTAGAGTCTGGGATAGTGCTGGGAACTGACACGGGGTCAGCGGTGTGCAAGGCAAGCAATATTACTACTGTACTATGTCTAAGAACCCAAGATGTTTTATTTTAGAAGAGCATATGAACATTACACTTATACTGTAATAGAACGCTGAGCACAGAGAAAGGAATAGCTCCTTAGCATGGCCAGATTTAACTCAAGAGAAATTATTTCAAACCCACAAAAACAAAAACAAAAAAACCCTTTAGGAACATACTGCCACCTTTGTTGCCAATGTTGGGTACCAGCTTAAAAGACAATTTTACTCATCCTGATTTTCTAAAACAAGTTAGAAAAACAGATTTCATAGGAGAGTGAGAACTAACAATGTCATTATTCAGTTGCAGGGTACAGAGATAAGAGTACAGTGGGTAGGGTTCTTGCCTTGTCTGCCCAAGACCTGGAATTTATCCAGAATAACACTGAGTGAACCCAGAGTGCAGAGACCAGAGTAATAACTGTGGACAGCCAGTTCTGGCCAAAAAAAAAAAAAAAAATGCCCAAATGAGCAGATAATCTTAAAATACTATTATAAATATCATTTCTCACCCTTTGGAGCTCTGCATCTGGATCCGGGTGTCCTTCTGCCAAAAGGCGTTGTCTAATTTCTTCTAGTTCTTCCTTCTCTCTTTTTCTATCCCGTTCATCTGCTTCCATTTCCTTTTCCCTATCACGCAATCTTTTTTGAAGAGCACTGCCTCTGCAAAATTAAATCATAACAGACATTATTTAATAATATTGCCAACTATTAAACATATATCCAAAAATCACCTGAATGATACTAATAGTTGAGACTAAGAGATTGTGTTTTGTATTTTATGCCACACCTAGCTATGCTCAAGGCTTGCTCAGGGATCACTCTTCATAGTGTCCAGGGGAATATATGGGATACCAGGGATTGAGCCTGGGTTGGCTGTATGCAAGGAAACACTTCAGCTGCTGTATTATCTTTTTGGCCCTGAAAGATCGTCTGTTAATGTCCTGTATCTGCAGGATGCTTTGTAATGTTTTGTTTATGGCACACACCTGGAGTTGCTCAAAGCTTACTCCTTACTCTTTTACTCTTTTACAAAGGAATCACTCCTTTGGGTTGGAGCTATGGCATAGCAGGTATGTGTTTGCCTTGCATACAGCAAACACATGTTCCCGATCCCTGGCACCCAGTATAGTTCCCCAAAGCCCACCAGGATTGAGTGATCCCGGAGTGCAGAGTCAGGAGTGAGTCCTAAGAACCACTGGGTGTGGCCCAAAATACAAACCAAATTAAAAAAGTAATCACACCTAAAGGGCTCAGGGAACTGTATGTGGTACCGGGATTAGGTTGGCTGCGTGCAAGGCAAGCACTCTACCATTTGTACTATTTCTTGCCTGTTTAATGTTAATATTTGGTAAATAAACTGCCTTGACAATTTAACAGAAGTCTCATTTTCAAGTTACTCCAACTGTCTATCAAATTAGAAAAATAGTTCTGAGACAAGAAAATTCTCTTATCCTACAGTGCACAGAAAACCAACACATATTTTCTGTTTCTTAGAAACCAAGCCAAGAAGCATTAATACAAGTAGTATCAGGGTTTGGGGAGATAGTACAATGATTAGGCTGCTTGCCTACACATTGCCAATCCACATTAGAATCCGGGTACTACACAAGGCTTCCCGTGGGCAGTCAGGAGTTTTTCCTGAGCACAAAATCAGGAATAAAACTGAACACGCCAGAGTTTCCCCAAAACAAAGCACGAAAAGGAGTTATCAGCAACGCTCAATTCTGTATCCTTATGTCAATCTTTTCAGGTGGAAATAAAAATCTAAGAATGTTATACACTGTACAATCAACAGAAATAGAGGTTCTATCAGTTTATCTTAAACATTGCTATTATGTACTGCCTGCCATTTTAATTAAGTCTTGTTGTGGAGCCATTAAGGTAATGTTTGAGGTTGTAGCTGGTGGTGCTCAGGGAACCATGAAGCATCCGGAATCAGTCCCAGGGCCGCTTCAGCAAAACATGTGCAAGTCCTGTGTAGCAACTCCCAAGGCCCTTTACTGCTATAATTCCTTTACTGCTATATTTCATCTACAAAATATAGCAGCTATACAGTTACTGTGTATTTTTAAATACATATATCGTGTAAAATATCACAATCAAGAAGTATAAAATATTGGGCCAGAGTGATAGTCTGCCAACACTGGTTCGATCCCTGGCATCCCATATGGTCCTTCAAGTACTGCGAGGAGTAATTCCTGAATGCAGAGCCAGGAGTAACCCCTGATCATTGCTGGGTGTGACACAAAAAGAAAAAAAAAAGTATAAAAATATTTCATTTTATTCATTTTTCTTTTTAGTTTTTAAAGAGCTGAATCTCTAGCACTCTTTCAATTTAAGTTGCTTATTTCACCATTTTAATTATTTGACTACAGTGCATTAAATTATATATTCAATACCTTTAGCTACATTTTTGGATCACACTGGACAGTAACTTTTTTTATTTTGGCAATGCTGAGAAATAACCAAGGACTTCATACAAGGCAACTACTCCACCACTGAGCAACACATCTATCCTGGGCCACAGATATGTATGATGGGCCCACCATGTCTTGAGATCACTTGGTTCTGTGGTTGGAGGGGCAATGAATTGCCAGAAACGAAGCCTGGGTCTCCGACATGCAATGTGTGTGCTCAACTCCACTGAGCTATCTTCCTGGTCCCAGTGCCCAAGTTTTGTTTTTTAAAATTAATATTAGTTTTCAAATCCTTCAACTAAAGTCAGGTGGAGATGGAAGAGAACAAAGCAAAATTGGACCAAACAGGTAATATACCAGGTAGGGCATTTGCCTTGTATGTGGCCAAGCTGGGTTCAATCCCTGGCATCCCATATGGTCCCAAGTACCTCCAGGTAATTCCTTAGTGAAGAGTCAAGAGTAATGTGGCCTAAGCATCTGAGAATGTCCCCCACAATCCAAAACCAGACAAAAGAAACACAGCAAAATTCTGTCAGTGGTGCTTAGGTGACTATATGCCATGCTGGGGAATGAACTAAGGTAGCCCACACAGAAAGTAAACACCTTATGCACTGAGTTACCAACAACTCCAGCCCCTATTTTTTATTTCTTATACCACTGAATGAACTTACGTTACCTGGTAAAATAAAGTTAAGTATGAGCAATGCTTCTTTACCTGTAATACTTGGGATCGTCTCTATCATCATCATAATCTTCCAAGAATTCTTTGAGTCGTTTAGCTTCTTTTGCCTTTGATGAAATGAAAAACAAAGGGTGCAAAATTAACATAAAAGTGACTTCAATCATCACCTACCCTTTACTATGAAACTGATTTTCCTTATTCAACAACCTAAACTTTTAAATTTCGTATGTAATATCTGATACTTTTAAATCTTTTGGGTACAAAACAAATTTTATTCAGAGGACCAATTTAAAGGACCAACTGCCGAGCAAAAGCAAGCGAAGATAAACAAATGGGACTATAGTAAATTAAGATGCTTCTACACTTCAAAGGAAATAAGAATCCGATTACCCACCACAGACTGGAAGAAACTATCTGCACACGACTCATTGAGTAAAGGGTTAACTGTAGCACTGTAGCACTGTCCTCCCATTATTCATTGATTTGTTGGAGCAGGCACCAGTAATGTCTCACAACAAATTGTGAGACTTGTTGTTACTGTTTTTGGCATATTGAATACATCACCGGTAGCTTGCCAGGCTTTGCCGTGAGGGGAAGGGTTAACAAGACACATAAAGTATCTTTATGTAGAACATTACAAGGAAAAACAAATACAAGAAAAAATGAACACAAATTTCCTTAAAGAGGAAATACGAATGGCCAAATGACATATGAAAAAGTGCTCTGCATCACTTATCAACAGGAAGATGCAAATCAAAAGAACGAGATATAAACTCACACCAGTGAGAGTGGCACACATCAAAAAAAAAAAAAACCACCAACCAGTGTTGGCATGGCTATAAGAGAAGATGACCCTAATTATTCACCACTGGTGGAAAAACAGACTAGTCCAGCCTTTCTGGAAAACAGTTTGACCATCCTCAAAATAACTGAGCTTCCATATGACCCCAAAATTCTCACTTCTAGGAATAAATCCTAATGCCTCAAAAACACAATGGAAAAAAAGGTATCTATCCTCCTATATTCATTGCAGCACTATTCACAATAGCCAGAACCTAGAAACAACCTAAGTGACAAAGGACAGATGATTGGATTGAAAAACCCTTTGAGTCATTTGACTTGATATGTGGATGGATCCGACGAGTATCACGCTGAGCAGGTTTAGTCACAAAGAGAAAGACACAATAATGTCTTTCACACATGGGGTATAAAGAAATATATCCGGAAAATAACAAATGTATAGTGGCAATAGTTATGAAGAGTAAGAAGGGGTCTTCGGTGAGAAGCTTGTCATGAGCCCTCTGCCCAAAGACAGGGAAGTGAACATTATGACAGTGGTGCAGGGCAAGGGTCACCCTGAAGGACAGGGACTGAAAGGAGGTAAAGTGAAGTACATGATTCCCCATAAGCAACAGTACTGTAAATCTCAGTGCTTAAAAGGGGGGGGGGGGGGGGAGGAAAAAGCCTGCAGCAGAGGCAAGCTGGAGGGACCAGTGGAAAAACTGGAGACACTGGCGGAGAGAAGTGGACACTAGAAGGGACTGGTATTGAACACCATACACCTGGAAGTCAATCAGAAATCAATTCATAAGTAATTCTGGCTGGAGCGATAGTACAGCAGGTTTCATCCTCAGCATCCCATAGGTTTCTGTAAGCACTGCCAAGAGTAATTTCTAAGTGCAGAACTAGGAGTAACCCCTGAGCACTGCCGGGTGTGATCCAACCCCACCCAAATTAAAAATAAAATAAAAAATTTGTAAGTGACTCTGTAATACATGACTCAATTAAACTCAAGTAACTCTCTAAATGACAACATTTTCCAATAAATATACTTTCTAACAAGCAAACTGAGGGAGAAAATAAAAGCTTACCTCACTAATTTGCCAACCAGATAAAAATACAGGAATTTAAAATTCTAGAAATAAGGCTGGAGAGATGAGGTAGAAGCGATTATATAGCAGGTAGGATATTTGCCTTTCAAGCATGCAGCCATCCCAGGTTTGATCTCAAGCATCCTGTATGGTCTGCCAAGCACCACTAGAAATAATTACTGAGTGCAAAACCAGGACTAGCCCCTGAGCATCCCCGTGTGTGACCCAAAAACAAAACAATACAAACATACAACTATGTTTCAGTACTCAGTCCCCTAAGACCTTCCAGGAATAAGTCCTAAGGATTGTCAGGTACGGTTCCATGCCAACCCCCACCCCCGCAAATTAATTAATTCATTAAAATCTCAGAAACGAAAAAATAATAATGTAAAAGCCCTCAGAAATAGGACACCTAATTAGTACTATATTTAAAGCAAGTGTACAAACAGGATTATATATCACTATGAAACATATATTTAGGGACAGAGGTTATTATTTAGCACTGAACTACATACATGTAAATGCATGTAAGAGACCTGAATTCAATTCCTGACACAGCAATACCTACGCACGCATGCACCCCTGGTTTTAACTATGGCACAACAGTACAGACTCACTCCATATACACACTAAATCATTAACTGTTACATCTGTAACAAGTAACTTTGTTTTACCACACCTAGCAATGCTCAGGGGTTATTTCTGGTTCTAAGCTCAAGAATCAAAATCCTGGTGTGCTCAGGGGAGCAAATAGGATGCTGGGGATCAAACCCAGGTTAGCTGTGTGCAAGGCGAACTCCCTACCTGCTGTGACGAGTAATACTCCAGTCCTAAATGCAGTAAAAATTTAAAACATTAGCTTAAGTTAAAAATAGAATCTTTACCAATAACCACATATCCAAGACCATCCATTCATCTCCTTCCCCCAGGCAGTATTTGTCAGTCTCTTACTCCCAAATATACTACAGTAACTCACTTATCTCTGACAATGCTACTCACTTTTTTCAAAGACAGAAACATTATTTATTCTTATATACCAAGCACAAAGCTGGGATATAATCTACCACAAGACAGTGTACACTCGAAAGTCATCTAATGAAAAATACTGTCATCAGTTAACAATGACAATATTCATATAAAAACAGGTGTGTTTATCCACATTCTAAAATTTAAAAAGAGTTGCTGACCATCCAGTTAAAAATTTAACTCCAGCTATCACCCTATTTAAAATTTTAGAATTCCTGGAGCACTAGCTGCATTCATAGCCAAGCGAAATCTCATACTCTACACCACTGATGATGTATATCAAGAGTAGAACACCACATTGGATGGGATATAAAGTAGAAGGCAACCAATCTCAATTAAAAAATATTAGCACACAAGGCTCAACCTGTAACAACATGTTAGTAATCTCTTATACAAGGGCTTAATGGCTCCAGGAAAAGACAGGATTATCTTCACGCACTCTCTTCTAAGGAAATCTTTTTGATCATTTTTAGTGAATTATTCCTAACAATCAATACAAAATAAATTATTTAGGGGCAGGCTTGAGTGGTCATTAGGAAAAATCAAAATAATGGTGATAGGAAGGTGCAATAGTGGTGGAATATGGTAGGTAATAAATTATTGTGAATGACTTTTTTAAAAATAAAAATGTTATTAAAAAAAGAGTGGCTATAAAAATAGTTCTATAGGTTAAAGAAAGCTTTTTATTTATTTTGGGGTTTTTTTGGGGTCATACCTGGCGACGCACAGGGGTTATTCCTGGCTTTGCACTCAGGAATTACTCCTGGCGTACTCAGGGGACCAAATGGGATGTGGAAATCGAACCCAGGTTGGCCACGTGCGAGGCAAATGCCCTACCAACTGTATGATCACTCCAGCCCCGAGAATAAGCTTTTTGATGCAGGAGATCTGAATTTGATCTCTGGCACTACATGGAACTCCATGCATTGCCAGGGGTAGTTACCCATGAGGTTTATTATCTGGGGATCCCAAAACAAACAATAAGTATTTTTTTTTAAGTTACCACTGTTGACTACCTGTGGCATACTCGATATGCCAAAAACAGTAACAAGTCCCACAGTGGAGATGTTACTGGTGCGAGCTCAAGCAAATCGATGGATAACAGGAGGACAGCGCTACAGTGCTACTACTGTTGATGGAAGAAACTCCCCCGCACTCCCAATACTTGATAATAAGAAAATAACGAAATGGAAGCAAAATAGAAAATTTTCTCTAGGAAGACAAAAAAATTAAAATTTGTGGATAGCAGAATAACTTCAAATTTGTTCTACAATGTTACATTTCTTCAAATAATTGTAGTATCTTATATATATATTCTCTTCCTATTTTCTAATTTAGGGATTAAAAGTTGTATAGTGAGAAATGGGAAAATCATTTCATTTAATTCTATAAGAGAATTTACTGTCTGGGAAACTCATACTATGTAATATACATACAAAAGTTATTGCAATGTATCATGTTCAAAACAATTTAAGCAGATTCCTAACTTCTACTGTAATAGTTTTAGAAGAATGATCGCCAAAGTGAGAAGCAGCATTCATGAAACTTTTGTAAAGATATAACACATGGAAAACATGACAATTGATATATGATAAAATGAATTTACTTTTTGTCCTATTTTTATATTCTGGGTTTTTGTTTATTAACCACACTTGACTAATGTTCTGGGGACCATAGCAAGCCAGGAGCGAAGGCAAGCATCTTAATCCCAGTACCATCTTTTTGTCATTGTTACTTTATAAAAACCTGTGCCAATCCCTCTATTAATAAAATTTATCAATATACATGCAAACTGATTTGTTTTCATAATATAATATCAGTGATTAAAGAAACTTAAAAACTTGAATCTTTCATCATATATAAAACATTGCTTTAGAGAACCTTCTTATATTTACTTATACCAATATCAAGAGAGAGACAGAGAACAGAGGCACACAGACTTCTCCAGAGTGCAAATAGGCAAGCAAAAAAAAAAAGACAAGTGAGGTAAGTTTTCTTTTTCTTTTTGGATCATAACTGGCTCTGCATTCAGGAATTACTCCTGGCAGTGTTCAGGGGATCATATAGGATACCGGGGATCGAACCTGGGTCTGTGGCGTGCAAGGTAAATGACCTCTCCACTGTATCACACCAGCCCCCATGAGATAAGTTTTCAATGGAGAACACGGGAGTGAAGAACAAACTGCTTCACAGGATTTTAAAAAGCATTCCAGAGAACAGAGAGTACACTTGAATGAATAGGGCACTTGCCCTGCAAGCACCAGACCCAGGAGGTTTGACCCTTCGTACCACATATGGTCCCCAGTAACCCTCCAGGAGTTAAGCCATAAGCACCGCCAGGCCTGATCCAAAAGCCAAACCAAATCAAAATAAACAAAACCATTGTAGCTAATGGGTGTGACTTCCCCAGTAATGTTCAGGCCTTGATACAATTGAAGATACCCAGAGTGGCAACAATTAAACTGGTTTTAAGTTAGCGCAGGCCTGCACCTGACTACTGAGTTACCTCCTTGTCTCCAAAATATTGCAGAATCTGAACAAAGTTTCAGTTTATACCTCTGGACAATTACTTTTATGGCATGACAAAAACTTGTTCTTAAGGAGCAAAAATACTGCTGCACTGAAATTATTTCACAATTATTTACTACATATATAAGAGAAAGTTAGCAATGTAGTATGAAGTATACTACTTAACTATATGGTTACTGATGGTTACTGAATTTAATACTGATGATTTTTCTCAATTGTATCTTAAAACAACTTTACAGTAAGGAAACATCTGGCAGTGTTCAGGAATTGTCATATCTGGCTCTGAGAGACTGTTATATGGTACCAGAAATTGAACCTTGGCGGCATTATGTGAGGCAAACACTTTACTATACTACTATCTCTCCAGTCCCAAAATCCCTATTTTTAAATAAGAACATTACCATTTCTCTTCTTCGTTCTTCTTCTCTTTCTGCTTCTTTCTCATATTCCCTTGTTTTCTTCCGTTCTCTGATTTCCCAGTTCTTAAGGCGCTAAAGAAAAATGAAGTAGAAGTTTTAAAAAAGTACAAAGGGGTCTACAAATTCTGACCTACTGAATGTCAAACTTTTAGTATAAAAGCATTCCCTAATCTTACCTCTTGATAGGCAGCCTCTTTCTCTCGGAGTTTTCTTTCAAGTTTTCTTCGTTCATAAGCATCTTCCTCATCCTCTTCCCTGTCCCGTTTTTTGTCTTTCTCTCGTTCTCGCTCTCGTTCTCTTTCTCGTTCTCTTTCACGTTCTCGTTCTCTTTCTCGTTCCCGTTCTCTCTCGCGTTCTCTTTCCCGCTCCCGTTCCCTTTCACGATCTCTACTCTTTTCTCTGTGTAAACCAAGGTTTAAAACTGTCAGAGTTCACTTTTCTTTTAAAAAAAAAAAAACAAGGGAGGGTCAGAGACAGTGAAGCAGACAGGGCAACTGCCTTGCATACTGCAAATCCAGGTTCAGCCCCTGGCAATCTATTATGTGCCCCCCAAACCCTGTCAGAGCCAGGATAAGCCCTGAGCACACTGGGTCTGGTCCAAAAACAAGGGGAGAGGTCTACTTTGGGGCCTGAGAGATTACAGCATTTCAATTTGCTTATAGTAGACAGCAATATGATTCCTGGCATCACATATGTTCCCTGAGTCCCAACAGGAGTGATCCTTCTGCAGAGTCAGAAGAAAGCCTTCAGAGAAGCTAGGTATGGTTATAAAAGTACACCCCCTCCCAAAATATCCAGATTGGCAGTGTTCAAAGAAAACAAACTTATAAAAGGTGGCGGGGAAAAGCATTGTGATATGTTGTATAGATATGAACTTTATCAGCAAAAGTTCTCAAATATTTAAGAATAAAATCAATTACAAAATATCTAGCATGAGGCCATAAATCCCTATTTTACATTCTCTCTGGCCCAGAAACAGATGCTTAAAAACGCCCTTTTCAAGGAACCAGAGACATCATAGTGTATTATATGTTTGCCTTGCAAAAACAAACCATGGTTCAGATCCAGCATCCGGTATGGACCCGAGCCCTGCCAGGAGTGACCTCTGAGTGCAGAACCAGGAGTAAGCCCTGAGAACCATCGAGTGTGGTCCCAAAATGACAAAAACTCTTTCCTTTTCTACTTCCTCCTATAGCTTTTTCCTTTGACCATTTTCACTACAATACTGTTAATTTTACCTTTCATATATATGTTTCAACACCATACCCATCACCTGAGTGCGATTTTCCTCCAGCAACGTCCAAAAGGTTCCTCCATATCTACCCTCCATCCAAGAACACCTAGCTCTATAAAAAAATTTCTAATTCTGCTGTCTTTTACCACTGTTGTTCCCTTAATTGGTTTATCTCTCACAAATATGAGATTGTTGGTTGGTTGATTGTTTTTCCTGGCAGAGTTCAGGAATTACTGACAGAGTTTGGGTGACTAATATATATATAGGGTGCTGAGAAATCAACCTGTATCAGGCATGGACAAGTAAAGCACCCTGCCCCCCACCCCAACTTGCCCCGCATGCTATCTCTCTAACCTTAACCTATTTTTTTCCTAGTAATTTTTATAGATGGTGAAGGTGGTGACTGCAACACACATATAGATGAATAAAGTACTGAAATTTCACAAAATAGTAATCAATAATAATACGTTTAACCAAAAAAGTTGTCTACCAATACAAGCTGACAAAGGCAATCATGTCTACATAGAATAGTCAGTGGTGTGTTCAGGTGTCTTTAAGGCAGAAACTAATCATGTTTGTTGACAACTGAACTTTAACAAATAATTACGAGAGACAGCAAACAAGAAGTATCTACAGTTCAAGAACATCACCACGCATACATGAAACACAATTGTCAAGAACAAATATACAGTTCTGTTAAAGCTAGCATGAAAAAGCAATAATTCGTGTCAAGTCTTACCTTGATCGACTCCGATCCTTATTCCGGTCTGAGCTCCGTTCCCGATCTCTGTCGCGATCTCTTTCTCGATCCCGATCTCGATCTCTTTCTTTTGTCCGGTCACGATCCCTATCTCGTTCTCGTTCCCGCTCCCGTTCCTTCTCCTTTTCTCGTTCACGTTCTCTTTCCCTTTCTCGTTCCCGTTCTCGCCTTTCTCGTTCCCTTTCACGTTCCCTCTCTCTTTCTCTCCGTTCTTTCTCAATTTCCTGTCTTTCTTTTTCCTTTTTGCCTTTCTCTTCTTCCAGTTTCTAGAAACCAATAAAAGTACTTTTAGAGTTAATTCTGTAGCTCCAGTCTTCAGGTATTTCCCGGTACAATGCCCAATATTAGAAACAGAAAAAAAAGAACAAAACAAACCACTGGTACTTTAGCATTAAATATCTGTGGTTTTACTTGAAAAACTAAAGAAGTAATCACAAGACTAGAGAGATACTATGCAAAACCATATACTCAACACAGACCAGGAATTTCCAATCTTGGGTTCTGGGAGATTGTGTCAAGCTAGTGTGGACTCCCATTTTCAATGATTATGTAATAAATGATCATGAAGAATGTGGTGGATTGTGTATTTTAATTATCATTCTGGAAAATTCTTCCCATTATGAATCTCTGTAAGTTAGCTGAACTATTGGCAGTAATTATAACCCCAGATTTCCTATTACCTCAGGACTTTATTAGTTGAAGGTTTAGAAGGGAATGGGGGGAGGAGTCAGGTAACTGACAAGTAACTAAAATCTGATATTCCCTCTACTTTGCCCACCCTTAGATACACAAGCTGAATTCAGTCAGAACTGCCCTAATATCTATATAAACATTTATTCCCACCATTGTAAGATGGACAGCCCACCAAATACAAAAAGTGTGAAAATCACTCATTTCCAGCAAAAACGTACACATTGTAGTTATTTTCTTTAAACTTAATCTTAAAAGCAATATAATTATGCCCATTATGCCTATAAAACAATGAAATATATCAACATGATAAATCCATCCTTGGGAAGGAATGATTGTATATTAACTTACAGATGCTGTGCTAGGACATGGACCGCCAACACTGGATTAACCTTGCCTACAAGCTATATTTCTGGGAGGAAGAGCAAGTACATGGTTCACAAATAAACCAAATAACAAAGGCAGACCAACTTTGTACCCTGACAAGATTACTAGTGTACCACATGGTTTTTACACAAACTCAGAAAAAAAAAATAATTACCCAAAAACAGGAAAAACAAACGCAACAAAAACAACACATTTATCCCTTGGTTCCATGTTTAGTGTCACCAAATAAAAATTAAACTATAACAACAAAATGTGCATTCTTTTCTTTTCTCAGTCATGTAAAGCATTTAAAACAACTTTAAAAAGCAATCTTACCTGTCATACTCTTTTTTCTCTTGCTCACGGACCAGAGAACTGAGAGAAGATTATGAAAGAAAGACTAATGCATGAAATCAATATATTCAGTAGCTATGCCAGTGTATATCAAAACATATTGTAGGCAAGGCCAGTACTGAATATATTGAAATTACAAAGAAAATACAAAAGGAATGGAAGAAAGAGGACAGAAACTAAAAGGACTTAAGTGGGAACATTCTAATTCTGAAACAGTTCTAACATAATATAAAAACATGTATTTTAAAGAGCCTAGACTAGATAACTTACCTCAGTATCATACACTTATAAAGAAATTTGTTTAATTCTGAGATAACAGATACTTACAGATTATTTTAGCTGTTCCAATAATAATTTCTTTTGTAGAATTCCTCATTTTTTAACTTTTATTATCTATATTATTCTTACTAGATTTAGTTATAATTATAAAAGAAATTTTTTAATGACTTATTTCAATTTTTTTGTATATAAATGAAAATGTAAGATAATCTGGTTCATACTAACTGTATTTCTGAAAGAGTTTATACGTATGTAATCAGCAAATAGATACACATGTATTTTAAGACAAAGACTGGAGGAACAGTAACTAAAGAGGGTTTTTTTAAAGATGTAAGAAAGTAATGAAATAATGAAGAGGAAAGGACAGGGAAAAAAATCGTAAATCTTACCTTATTCTCTCTTCAGACTCGTCCGTGCTGTAAATGGACGCCCCCTGCCACGCTGATACCCTGACAGTCTGCGGTTATTTAATATACTCATACCAAAACATGCAAAGGTTCACTGAGCTCAATTTTTTGCTACTGGAATTTCAAGCATATCACCCAATAGAAAGAACGGCTTTTCTACTTTTTTTAAGGCATTTTGGAAATTCAGTCCTTGCCCCACCCCATTAAGTAGGTCTAAGGCAATCAATGCCTGACAGCTTCTCAAACTATGAAGCACAAAACTTTTCAATTTATTATTTTAAAACACAATTTTCTCACGCTTTACCAATGACATTACAGAATTTTTTAAAGGGTAAACCACACACACAACTGTATACCATTTTCAAGCTTACTCAGACCCTAATTCTACGTAATGAACCTAACCAAGTATTTGTCTAACTCTAAAAAGTACTGTGGAAAAGCTACAGCTGTGCTTTTAGTATATATTTAATTCCTGAAAACAAAAAGCACTGAGAATCAGGATAAGCATTCAGCAGAATTGATTCAATGACCTTTAAATCGTTGACTTGAGATTATAAAATAAGATCGGAAAAATATAAACACTTAACACCTCATTGAGTTAAAGGTTACTCAGTCTTATGGGTAAAAACAACTAACGTCTTATCTAATATCAAAATACATTTCATGCAGTATTTTGCATTTCACCATCCATAAGCATCACCTTCAAAACCAACATTCACAGAGGCACTGTCATTGAGAGAAGCTTTCAATAGGCAAAACTCGTGAGTGGGATTTACTATGCACAAATACCCATTTCCAAGCCAGTTACCCCTTTGCATATTTTTCTGAGGGGGCATCCATAAATATAATAAAAAACAGAAGCTCATACTTACATCCTATTCCTTGTTACTTTCCAAGCTGAGAGTTTCATCTTGCATTAGTCACCATATGATCTCTATCATAATGGTGGGGGTCAATGAATAGATTAGCTTTATGGGAATTTACAGTTCTTCCATGCATCTAAAATTTGGTAAGTCTGGTAACCACTGACCTACTTTTAAAAATTTCCCCCTCTCAACTATAACCTATACAAATATAAATTTAAATTTTAATCTCAGCTCTAAAGGTTTTCCTAAGATTAAGTTAAATAACTGCCCCAGGAATACTTTAGTGTATGTTATTCTGTTGCCCCCTTGAATATACTCTAATTCTGACCATGATGTTTATGGTGAAATCTAAAATCAAAATTAGATTTATTCATATTAAAGTGAGATGACTGCAGAGTAGTCAATAACTGAAAAACTAAGAACATTATGTCCACTTTAACATGATATTATTGGTCTTTTGTTTCTTTGCTGCTATCTAATAATTAAGCCTATGAAAACCATTTTTAAATTATATTCTTATGTAAGGTTTTTTTTTTTGACTGTTTGCTTTGGATTCTGCAAAAAGTCTAGGTTGGTATCAAGTGAGAAAAACAAGAATACTACCTTGTGTGTATCTCTGAATTTGCTGATCTCTCGAGATATCAGGTCTCTTTTATCTTCTTCCATTTCTATAGCATTTATATCCTCCTAGAAGACAAGGGGGGGAGAAAGAAACACATAAAATTCAAGCCATATTCATCTATACAACTAAAGGTTAGACAATCTGTAGAATCTTATAAAAGACAAAAGAAAATGAATCAACAGAAGTTATATACTAACAAATCTACATTAAACAGTTAAAATGAATAAAAGTAACAAGACTGATCATTATCATCAAACATAGTTATTGATAAGCTCTAAAGTATAAACAAACGAACCTTAGTGATGAGTGGATAAGGGATCAATGGGGCCACTGGAAATCTGCGAAAAATCTGCGGAAAATCCACGAAGATTAAAACAAAAACAAAACCCTAAGAGTTCACATTACTCTACAAAACATTGCTGTTTAATTTTGTAAACAGTGCTAAGTCTGTGACATTTTTCTTAATTTTATGTTAGTTAATAAAGGATTTCATTCACTCTCTATAACCCTTCCCATCACCCACATGTGTTCTGATTTTCTAAACAGTATGAAAGCAGGGCTTTATTCCTTGACCCCTATCCAAGAGACAGTAAATAATTTCGACTAAATTTATGGATAATGTCTACCTTATTACAGATCCTATTCTCCCAAAATGTATCTTAACAAATGCTGAGCTATATTTTCATTTCAGAGCAAAAAGATAAAAATAACATTCTTCAGGCCTCAAGTCCCCTGTACCAGGCAAAAGCTCTGAGTTCTAGTTCTAAACCCATGTAGTTCCCTGAGCACTGTGGTGCAGTACCCCAAAATGTATTTAAATGTAAAGATAGGTCTATATGTATATGGCTACAAAGAAAATTACAAACTACTTCTAGTGGGTAACAAAACCCAAAATATTGCCAATTATTAAACTGATATTTCACAACATTTCTTCATTGTGTACACCAGTGTTCTTTAACCTCCAGTGTAAAAACCAGCAGTGATCCTCAGGTTAAGAAAGGTTGAAAACCACTTGTCTAAGACCCTTGACTTTAACTGTCAGTCTGTAGACCAATATAAAGGAAGATTCTGGTCAAAAAGGCTGAAGGGTCACTGGTGTATACAACACTAACACTTCAATATTTTAGAAGAATATACTCCTAATTTTTCAGTTTATCTAAAAGAAAGATTATGAGAAAACAAAACATTTCTCTTCAACCTGGACTCCCCACTGATCAATTAGCTAAGGATGGAAAAGTAGAAGAATTCTGGGAAGGGATCTTTTATCTTGTCCTCTTTTCATAGTTCTCCAGTTTAAAGTATAACAGCACTGCTGTCCATGAGAGAGAACAGGACAATGTTTATAAAGGTGTTGAATGGAACCTCAAGTACATGTGAAATTCCTTAGTGAGACTGATATCATGCTTGAAGCAGAGACAGCCAGCGTCAGAAAAAGGTAAAACAAGAAAAGCCACTTTGTAGGCATATTCTCCCCAAGCTCAAAACTCTGCCTATAACCCATTATATCATCTATCAGTTAGTCCTTCACAACATTTTTGTTTTCACGTAATCTGAAACCACAGATATGCATAATCTTTGTTTGATGCCAATACATTCACATGTCAAAAAAAAGTTAGCTGACAAGAGTCAAATAAGGCTTAACTGTACATTGTGTACACTGTTTTAAACGCTATAAAATACTGAAAACACAAGTACAAGATGAAAAGAAAACTTTAGTAATGGCACTGTAGTCAAAAATCAGTTAACACATACGTCCTCTTTCTTTTCCTTCTTCTTCTTCCTAGGATGAGAGTCAGATTCTTGAGAAGGGGCATTGAGCTCGCTGGAATATTCCCGTATTAAAACCTCAATGGCTCCTTTGATCATCTGGTCTCTTCTTTTTGTTTCTTCATCTAAGGCTTCTTCATCATCATTAGCTACCGTTTCTGGCCTGGCATTCTTTTCAAAACGTGACAAATTAAGGAAGGGAGAAAGGAGAAAATACAAGTTATTTTAAAATAATGGTACAAAAAATAAAAATGTGTTCTCTGAAACACCTCCATGTCTTTTATAATAAAGATAAGATTCTGTTCTTAAATTTAAATTTCATTTGTTTTAGTATTTCCTTTTCTGAGATATTGGTTCTTTATTATTTTTTCTTTTTTCCTTTGATAATATTCTAGTACCTAAATCAATGTCAGAAAGTTAATAGTTTAAAGAAAAAATTAAAGCATTAGAACAGGCCACACAGCATGTCTGCAAAGCTTTACCAATGTATACTGTCCTGCTGAGTACTTGCATTAATGATTATTATTCATATTCACCAAAAAATTCATCCAAGAGATAAAACTTATGTGGCAAAGCAGTGAGAGAAAAAAAAATGTTTTATGTAACTTAATATAAGCCATCAAGAGGACCGGAGAGATACTACCGTGGATAGGGTACCTGTCCTGCCACACAGCCAATGTAGGTTTGATCCCTACCACTCCATATGGACTCCCACAAGCCCTGCCAGGAGTGATCCCTGAACATAAAGTTAGAGTAAACCCTGAGCACTGCTGAGTAACCCAAAAACAAAAATAAAATTAAGTCAACACTTAGAATACATAAAAGTATGTGTAGATTAAACAAAATACACTAGGAAGTTTTATGCAACAAAGTATAATCATCAGAGATTAGGGACTGATATCACAGCATTTTCCCACTTTGCTTCCTATAATTTCTGTATATTAGCTTGAGCACTGCCCAGGAATAGCCTCTGAGCACTGTCAGCTGTGGGGTCAAAACTCAAAACTGGTTAAAATCAATCATTTATGTAACTAAAATGGATATACAACACAAATCTTTCTACCCTTGACTTACAAATGTACTATGACTAAAATAAAAGCAAAATTCATGTTATGATTCTCACTGAGGGCCTAAGACACAGCCCAGAGGACAAGGTACTTTCCTTGTATGCTATCTATACCAACCTGAACCCCTGGCACATGTTTCCTGGAACACCTTCAGTAGTCACTCATCAGCATCAAGCGAGAACAGTCCCTGAACCTTGCTGGGTATGGCTTATTTCCCCCTCTATGCCCCCCACCCAGCTGGAAAAAAAAAAAACAGAAGTGTGGGGGGGAAAAAGTAAGAAAAAAAGTACAAGACTTTATTAATAATTGTTTAAGAGAGAGCTAGATTGGGGCCAGAGAGGTACTACAGGGAGTAGGGTCCTTGCCTTGTCAAGAGCTAACCAGGAATTGATGCCTGGCATCTCATATGGTCACCTGAGCCTGCCAGGATGGACTTGTAAGGCCAGAAGCAGCAGTAACCAATTACTGGGTGTAGCCCAAAAGAGAGTAAAATGGTTGTGTCAACATGAAAAAAATTTTTGCTGTTTCCTGGGCCTGGTAAGTGGCCAAGTAGAACAACATACGCCATCTGTGTGGTATAACTAAAGATAAAATGAAATTACTCATTTCTAACATGGTATTATTCTCTCTTAAGTCCCCTGGTATTTGAATTCAGTTAAAACTACAAAATGCAAATAATAACCGAAGACTTTGGATCACTTTTTGGATCAGTCCTAGCTAACTTTTTTGCAATGGGAAAGAATGATGAAAAAAGATAAAGGTGGGGGGTATGGTGCCACCAGCAGGTCAACCTGCACCTATGGAGTGAGTGCATCAGCAGCCTGATGGTGCCTTCAGGCTTCCTGATACTCCAAAATTGTTGCTGTGCTTTTGGCCGGACCCAAAAACTTGGGGCCAAGTTTACCAAGAAATTAAACGGCCAAAAGTTAGATATGTGGGAGCCACACCCACAAACCACCTCTGGCTCAGCTATACAAACTCATTAGTTGGTCTTATTTCAGGGACCCATAAATAAATCTCGAAAGAGATCAAAAACTGAAGTTAATCCCAAATCCATGCATGGCTGAACAGACCAGAGTAAATTGGAGGGGAGGTAATTGGGCAAGTGCCCACCTAAGCACAACCTCTGGCAGCCTTCTTGCTTCCACAATCCAAATTCATTGCCATAATCCCCAGCCTGACTCCCTAACCTGACTTCACTATCTCAGGACAAACCTCACTAAGATATAATCTGTTGAAAATTCAGGTATGTGGGTTTTGTGACTGAAATTTCCCGGCTTTCTTGGGGTTCAGGATGGGCTACCTCCTCCCACCTCCCTGTACTTCAGGAAGCCTCGGCAGTCATATCCACAACCCAAAGTGGCCATCCAACTGAAAAACTACTCCAGCCTTACTATCCCAATAAAAATACCAAACGCCCTGAACAAATGCCATGACCTCTTTTATTTAGCACCTGAACTGCAAGCCATAATACACAGAAGGAAAAGGAGAACAAGAAGGAAAGTGCCTCCCCTAGAGGGAGGCTGGGGGTGGGAGGTGAGGTGTTTGAAGGTGGTGGTAGGGAAACAGGGGACATTGGTGGTGGGAAATGTACACTGGTAGAGGGGTGGGTGCTGGATCACTGTATGAGTGAAACACAATTATGAACAGCTTTGTCATGATCTATCTCATGGATTTTCAACTAAAAAAATTAAAAATAAAAAAGTAATGTGGAATTCACGCCCAATCCAATCAGCTTAATCAAATGGCTGAATAAATAGCAGTACTCCTACATTTAAAAATATATATATAGGTTTATACAAAGCTTTAATAACACAACTATAGGGAAAGGGGAAGTTGAAAATGAAATACATTTTTAAACATTTAATAAAAAAAACCCTATATACACATGCATACCCCAAAGGAACTTTTGTGAACACTGCACATTATCATCTATTTTAGAAAAGCAGCATACTCTCTAGCATTAAACCTTTAGCTCTATGTCTCAATGCATGCAAGTATTAAAGGTGAGTTTTATTTCATTTCAAAAGTCCTCAAAGGCTACTACTCCCAGCTCTGTGCTCAAAGAGTGACAACTGGTGGATGCTCAGGGATCATAGGTAGTGCTAGTGCTAGGAATTTTGTAGGAACTGGCGAGGAATTATGCCAGTTCATCGGTAGTGAACTGGCATTTTGAAAAATGTGCAAGGTAGGCACCTTTGCTTCTATACTCTTTCCTGCCACCATTAAAGTTTTATGGACCGTGTCTCCTTGATGTAATCAAGGAGTGATTTCATAACTTAGCCACCAGTTATATTTTCAAAATGCACCTATTTTCAAATTGGCGCAAACAAAGAGAGAAAAAGGGGGGGAAATTATTGTTTTATTCTTTTACTTTTTTGGTTTGGGGGCCACACCCAGCCATGCTCAGAGTATACTCTTGCCAGTCTCAGGGGACCGTATAAGGTGCCAGAAATCAAACCTGGGTCAGCCACATAAAAGGCTGTGCTCTACCCCCTGTACTGTCACTCTGGCCATGTACAAAATTGTTAAAATATCTGTCAGTAAAAAAAAAAAAGTCAGTGAGGCAGGCTAGGGGAGTGGTGGAGTAGTGGAGTATGGTGGGAAATGTAACTAGTGAAAGGATGTGTTGGAACATTGTATAATGAAAAAACTCAATCATGAACAACTTTGTAACTATGTATCTCACAGTGATTCAATTCAAATCAGTTTTCTAGATTTCTTAAGGGCTACCCCTTACAACATACTATTCTATGGAGAGAAAAAAAAGGAGGGGTGCCACACCCAAACACCCAAAATAAAGCAAAAAAAGGTGATTTTGATCTGCAGAAAGTGTGATTTTGAAACATGAAATCTTTATCACCACAACAAAAACACAATACTCTATAGATACTTGTCAATCTGCTCAATCTGTTTTGGGACACATACAGCTATTTTAACCCGTACTCTGAGACTTAAGTTTCTTTTGCTGGTGTTGCTGCTGCTACTGCTTGACATGACAAAAGATCACATCAAAGTACCAAGGGGAGTGTTCCCTCCTACCCAAAACTGAACTTTGAGTGGAGAAAATTATCTGACTGGACACGTGTAAGTATTCTTCCATAGAACAAGAGAACTATACAACTTATTTTTATTTTCTCCTCTGCATGATAGTCAGAGGAACATACCAGAACAATGTTTAATGTTTTGCAAAGCTTTGCAATGTTTCAGTCTCATATAATCCACATTTCAAGACACTGCTTTGAATTTTTCTAACAAGATTTAAAAAACTCCCGTCAAATCTATACCACTTTAGCTTGTCTTTGGGGGAAAAAAAACGATATGAAAGTTGTCTGACTTTGTGCTTTGTAACAAAAACGTTGAAATAACATTCTATGAAAATGTCATGTATGTCGTATAACATTAAGTACATCTGGTAGTAAAAAATGCAACCAAGTTATGATTGCTAATTTCTACTAGTTTTTATGAGAAATAATTTGCTTTTACTGAGAATGGCTTCAATGTTACCCTGAGTTATTTTGCTTTGCTACTACACTCAGCAGTTCTCAGAAATCACATCTGGCCTTGTTTTGGGAACCAGGGTGCTCGGGATTGAGCCTGGGTCAGTTAGGTGAAAGACAAGCATTTTAACACCAAAATTAATTCTCCAGCAACATACCATTTGTTCTTAAAATTACAAAAAGATTTAAAGTGTGGTTCCTCTCCTCTCCATAACAGTGATTACAAATTAAAGCAAAACCACCACACCACTATTCATTTGTTGTTTGGACTTTTCTTTCTTTTTTGTTTTTGTAGCAATGACAGGGATCAAACCCAGGGCCTCAAGACACGTAAAGCATATGTTTCACAACAATCTAGTCATTTCCAAATACAAATATGCAGCTCCAGTGATTTTATTTCATGTCCAGAGTATGATGTTTACAAATTGCTACAAATAAAACCACCTCAGAAGCAAAGATTAAATACAAGAAGTCCCAAGAAATGATATAAAAACCTTTGGAATCAAAGGGAATATAGAGGGGAAGGCTCTTCCCTTGTACACACATCCAGTCAGACCAATCCCCAGTACTAAATAAGGTTTCAAGAATTCCTTCAAAAGTGATCCCTGGACACAGAGTCAAGAGCAAGTTCTGGGTTAAGCCAAGTGTGGCTCAAACAATCCCGCAAAATCTTTGAAGATAATAAATACATATTCAGTTTAAGAAGATTTTTTTTCTGCAACAAAGAAAACCAGAGAATGCTTGCTGCAGTTTGGAATCACGTTGTGACAGGCAGAAAACAAACAAAACCATGCAACTTAGATAACAGAGAAACTTTAGGGTTATTACTTCCTTATAAAACTAGGTGTGCAAGATCACAGTGATTTCAATTAAAAAATATAATAAAAATTTAAAAAAAATAAAAACTAGATGAGCAGAGCATAGTAAGATAGTACTGCAGGCAGAGTGGCTCGCCTTGCACCATGTCAACCTGGGTTCAATCCCCAGCACCCTATATGGTCGACCCTGTATAAGAAAAGCACCCTACCTGCTCTACTATGGCTCTGGCCACAACAAAAAAAAGTATTTCTATTTTGAATGGAGAATTTTGTTTCTAGGTTTTTGCACTTTGGTTTGATTTTGGGGCAACAATCAGTGATGCTCAAGGGTTACTCCCAGCAGTGCACGAGGGGACCATATGGAATGCAGGGAATCAAAGTTGTTTTGATAAAAGAGGCTAATGTTCTATTTTGGATCTGCTCAGTTTAAAGTACCACAAGGAGCTGGGAAGGGAAATCAAGAAAACAATTCCAAGATTTTGCTATTTTTTTTTCATTGAGAACAATAAAGTATAAAGCATATAAAAATTTCTTTAGATTTCACATGACATAACCACCCACCTGAGAAAAACAATTAAGACTAAAATTAATTCATTTGAAAACCTGTGTACTTCTAAAAGAGAGGGTAACTAAGAAAAATTGTGTAGGGTGAAATATATTTTGTACTTACTTAAAAAGCTGCCTTAATGAATTAGCTCTGTTTGGAATAGTCTGTACCAGTGTTTTCTCTGGCAAGTTAACCTTGTCCAGCCTCCCTTACTACCTTCATCCCAACCTGGAACAAGCAAACCAACAGTCATCCACCCACTATGGGTAGATAAATAAAAAATAATTATACACTATAAAGTACCCTTCTGCATTTTAGCCAAGTGATGATCTTGTGAGTCCCCATGTCAGATTTATTTATAGATAAAAAGTTATACTGAAAGAGTACATTTAGGATGGCCTAGAGACAATAACCCCCATTAGTCAACATACCCCATTAGAAGCTTTCTTCTTTGCTTTCCATTCATCCAATTGTGCTTTTGTTTTTGCATCAACTTTAACAAGTAGCTTCTTCTCTCCAATCTGCAGATCATGCAATAACCTGAGTGCACGGAGGGTAGACTCAGGCTCCTTATACTCACAGAATCCAAAGGCTAGGAAAGGATACAAAGAATTAGTGACATAACAATGCATTTATGAAAGATGAAAATTTTATTAAACACTAAAATGAAAGACAAAATGTTATAACAAAAAGACTATCCATGCCACAAAATTTCCTGCTCTGCTTAAACTACTTTTGACAAGAATTTCATGTTCCACACCCTCAAAAAAACCAAAGATGGGGTTGGAGAGATAATACAGGGTTAAAGTGCCTGGTTCCAATTCTGCGCCTTGATCTCCAGCACCAAGTACAATCCCTGGAGAACAGACAGGGTTCACTCCTAAGCAGATAGCCAGAAGCCCTGAGCACTGTAGGATGTGCATGTTCCTCCCCACATGACCACCCCCTCACACATGCACACACAAAAGCTGAGGAAATGAAGATTATAACTAGGCAAACTGACATGTATTTTTAAATTTAAATACAACATTTGGCACTGAACCCAGGCTTTGCATGAAGCCCTAAATTCAATCCCCATACACTCCCACTCCAAACAAAATAGTAATTTCTTTTTAGCAGAATCAGCAAATTCCATTAATGATTTTTAAATTATTTATTTTCATAGTGAATTTTTCTATTTAATTTTAATTTTGGAAAATTGGGCTGCAGTTGCTGCTACTCCTGGCAGTGTTCAGAGGAACAAATTCAATGCCAGGGATAAAGCCAGAGTCAGCAGAATGCATGGCCATGTCTTAGTTCTGTATTATCTCTCCAGCCCTTCATTTTTTAATATCTGATTTAAAGTTATGGTAATAATAAAATTAATGAAAAACAACACAGTAAGAACTAAGACATGCAAAAAGTGAATTATGCACCAGTTAAAATATTCTGAATAAATTATAGGAAAATATTACTTACCTTGAAGTTTTCCAGACGCACCTTGTACTCTCTTCCAGCTCAAAACCAAGCCACATTTCTTAAAAAGAAAAAAACTACATCAGTACCTCATCTTTAATGCAAAAAAAAAAAAAGAAAAAAAATCCACACAAGTGAAAGAGAAGCAAAAAACTAGAAATTTAAATTTTCCAAACCCACAAACCTAATAAAAACATAAACTCTAGGGACTGAAGCAGGTAGGGTGTTTGACTTGCACGAAGCTGACCTGGACTTGATCCCCAGCACACCATATGGTCACCCAGGTTTCACCAGGAGTAATTCCTAAATGGCCCCAAAACAAAACTAAAGAATTCTAATATATCCTTACGTTAAAACAAACACAGCTAGTATTAGGAATTAGAAATGATATAGCATTCTTTTGTTTTATTTTTAGGCCATACCCAGCTGTGCTCAGGATTTACTCCTGGTTCTAAACTCATGAAAGTCTATACAGCATTTATTCTGTAAGAAAAGTCAGCATCTGTTTTATCCTAATTATGCCCCAGTTCAATTTCCAGTAACACAAAAAAACACCGCAGGTCTTGCACTGTACGTGGTTAACTCAAGTTAGACCCCTAGCACCATAGGAGCAATCTCTACACATACAACCAGGTATAAGTTCTGAGCACAGCAGATTTTGGTCCAAAGTCCCATCCCGCTGAAAATAACAATTAAGGAATACATACAACCACATACATAAAAACACATAAAATAATCAAAGCCAGAGTTTTTTGTAAGCAACCTTTCAATGCCTAACCCCACTGCAGAGTCTGAAAAATTTCAACCTGAAGATAGTAAACAAAAAAAGACTTGAGACATGAATCATCAGATCTGAGTGAGAAGCCAGAGCGATAGCACAGTAATAAGGAGCTTGCCTTAAATGTGCTGACCCAAGTTCAATTCCCAGAAACCCATATGGGCCAAGAACCACCAGTAATGATTCCTGAGTGCAGAACCAGGAATAACCCCTAAGCCTTGCCAAGTGTGGCCTAAACATCACACCCCTCCAAACATCACACCCCTCCAAAAAAAAATCAGATATGCATGATGACCTAAATGCACTAAAGCAGAAATAAGGTAGAAAAATATTTATGAAAACTTGGAGGACCGGAGTGATAGTACAGCAGGTGGGGCATTTGTCCTGAATGTGACCAACCAGTGTTCTTTTCCTGGCATCCCATAAGGTCCCCCACACAATACCAGGAGTAATTTCTGAGTACAGAGCCAGGAGTAATCTCCTAGCATTGCTGGGCATGACCCAAAAAGAGGAGAAAAAAAAAAAGAAAAGAAGAAGAAAACTGTTACAAGCAACTAATCCTAATCTCTCTAAACAAGAACATCCAAGTTTTTTAGAGAAACTAGTCTCAAAGAATTAAAACTGTGACATAGATAACATTCAAAACCTTTACTGGCTAAATTATCCTACAATGCCCAACATTTTGCAAGTCTTCTTATGCACTTATAAACAATCATCACCATACAGTTAAAGCATTTAAGGGTTGAGAGATAGTATAAAGGTTAAGATGCTTTCCTAGAATGTGGCTGTGGCGACAAACGCCCTGTTTAAATCCCAGTAATGCATAAGGTCAGTCCCTTAAGCCCTGCCAAGATTAATGCCAGAGCAAAAAAAAAAACAAACAGGTTTTGTCCTTGTTCACCACTGGGTGTGGTGAAAAAGGGGAAAAGAGAGAGAGAGAGAGAGAGAGATTGAGAAAGAGGGAGGGAAAGGGAGAGGAAGAGGGGCCAGAAAATGGGATGGAAACTTAGTACATCCCTTGGTAGGGCACTTGCCTTGCTGCACATGGCCAATCTGAGTTTGATCCCAATCACCATATATGGTCCCCAGAGCCCATCAAAATTGATCCATGAGTGAAGATTCAGGAGAAGGATGTGGCCAAAAAAAAAAAAAAAGGGGGGGGAAGCCCAAGAGATACTACAACCAGTAAGGTGCCTCTCTTAAGGCAGCCACCCTGTAGCTTCAATCCTGGACTCTCTATATGATACCCCCATATCTACCAGAAGAAATTCTAAGTGCAGAGCAAACAGTAAGCTCTTGACCACAGAAAAGAGTAACCCAAACCCAACCAAAAAAAAAAAAAAAAAAAGCAATTATAGTGACTGAGGTTTTAACATAAGAGAACAAATGCCTTGCATTTAGCATTTATGAGGTTTAGGTTTGGTTCTAGGCACATGACACACTAGCACCAAGTTAGGTATGGCCCCGAAACAAACAAAAAAAAAGTGATTTCTGAAGTAATTGAAAAAACAAGTTTTTTTTTCTTTTCATTAGGAAATCACATCCAATAATGTTATCAATAAATTAAAAACCAAAGAGATAAAAAGACTGCCACATCAGGAGTTTAACTTTGCTCAAAATGAAAAGCTAAGAATCCAGTGGATGCTAAAATTATTCCACGGGCCAGAAAGAACATGGTTTCAGGAGCTTGCCTTTTGTAGTCAACCCAGGGTTATTCTTCAGCACTGCAAATGGTCCCACAAGCACTAGTGGGTGCAATTCCTAAACACAGTGCAAGAACAGCCCCCAAACCCACAAACCCTAAATAAACCAGCCAACAAAAATATTGTTTTGGAAGAATACTGGAGAACGAGACTGGAACAATAGTACACCTTGCATGCAGCAACCTACGTTTAAATCCCCAGTACCACATATGGTCCTGGTGCTGAAACAGGAGTGAACTGAACCAGGAATAAGCTGACTGAACACACCTGGGTTTGACATCCTCTCCTTGATCACCCCAAAAAATTAAAAATCAAATGAAATCAACAAGGGTATATAAAAAAAACAGTATTTCTCAGCCATTTAATAGCTGAGTATCAACAGTTAAAAATTACATGGCACTATTCTGTCAACTTTTCTATTAAAAATACCACAATAAAAAAGAAACCACTTGAGCTCTTGAATTTTTCATGCGTTTAAAATTTGTAGCAAAAAAAATACTGAACAAAAAATAAAGTTTAACTTACAGCAAGGAGCTGTCTTATCAGCATGTCAGAGGCTTTTTCAGAAATGTTGCCAACAAAGACTGTAGTAGTAGGACCACAATTTTCATCATTTTCTTTAGCCTTTAAGCCCGGATGATCTTTCCTTGCTCCCAAATGCTTTCCAACCATGGACACAGTGGGTACCAAAACCTACAGTGAGGGTAAACAATAAAATTAGATATGAAAATTAAAATTTTGTTTACTAGGCTTAAAATAATAACTTTAAAGTAATAAACATATGCCGTAATACTAAAGATTCTAAATGATCCTAAAGCAGATGATATTTTTTATTAATGTAAACTGACTTATGACAAGCAAACATTCACCATTAAGATTACCTTTTCTACCTTCCTCGGGGGCTGGAGAATCAGTACAACATATCTCTGCACAATAGTTGACCCCCTCCCAAGAGCACCACCAGAGTGACCCCTAACCAGTCAGGAGTTGCCTCTAAGTAATGCTTGAGTATGCCACTTCCCTGTCTAACACACACACACACAAAAAAAAAAACTTAGAAAATTTGGGGTGAAATAGTACTGAAGGCAGGAGGCTTGACTTAAGGTTGATTCAGATTTGACGCCCCCAGTACTTCATGTTCCCCCAAGTACCCTGAGTGAGCCCTGAGCACACTGATTATGGCTTCTCCCTGCAAGCCCCTCGCCCCCCAAAAATAAAAAAAAGTTTAAGTCATAATCCAGTGGGCTGGAGATATAAAACAGTGGGTAGGGCACTTGCCAACCTAGTTCTGGTATCCCATATAGTCCCCTCAGCACCTCCAGGAGTGATTCCTGAGTGCAGAGCCAGGAGTAACCCCTGAGCATCGGCTGAATGTGACCCAAAATAAAAGGGACTTTCAAATAATCTTCACAAATTCTTACAAGAAATATTCACAACTCTTCTGGCACTTTCCAGACACATAAACACTACCTTTCAGGTTGGGGAGCTCTCAGGATGAAGAGATACATGCTAAGCATAGGCCCAACCCACATGGCATATGCCCAACCCACATGGCCCAAAAGCACTGTCAGGGTGTTACCCAGAAAAGCAGGTTTCAAGCAGCATCATATACTCCATTCTGAGCACTGAGCTGTCTGGCCCAACTGGCAAGAAATCTTGGGAAATGGCACTGAGGCCCCCTGAGCACTGCCTGGGAAGGTCACACTCCCCCCCGCCCCCCGCCAAACTCCCTTGCTCACTATGTTTTTTTTATATTTTCCTCTAGAATTTTCAACTTCAGAGGAAAGAGCTATTCCTGATCTTTAAATCCGGCACTGAATTTAGCGTATTATACATAGGAGGCACTGAATATTATAGTCACAGGGGTGGTTTTCTCAAACCAAGTCCTATCTCTTCCTAATGCTGAAATATAGGAAAAGAATAGCTGTCATGTGAAGGTTTTTTAAAAAGCCACGTGAGTTTCATGCAAGAAAAGTTGAACTCACCCTTAATGTAGAAAAATCAAATCTTCTCAATGACTAGTCTGCCTTACAAAGGTTTGGGGTTTTTTTGTTTGTTTCTGACAGGGAGATAGTTTTGAGGATTTGGGCCAATAGTGCTCAGGAGTTACTACTGGCTTTGTCCTCAGGAGACCTGGGATGCAGGGAATCAAATCAGGTTCTAGTGCTGGAATGATAGTAAAACGCGTAGGACTTGCCAACGTCTTGCATGCATCCAACCTTGGTTCTGTCCCCGGCATCCCATATGGTCCCCCGAAACCCCAAAAGTGATTCCTGAGCACAAAGCGAGAGCAAGCCCTGAGCAAATCATGTATGGCTCAAAAACCAAACTATAAACAAAAAAAAAATCATATTCAGTAGCATGCAAGATAAGTACCTTAGCCCTATTATCCCTCTGGTCACCAGAATATTCCTATTACCCATAGAGCTTCCATCTTTCTTTTCCTAATTAATAATGACACTCCCATTTCCTTTTCACAACTCACAGGCAGTACAGCTGATACAGGTGCTTGCCTTGCATGAGGCCAAACTAAGTTCTAGCCCTGACACTGCATATGGTCCCCTAAGCCCCACCAGGAGTGATCCTTGAGCACAGAACCAGTTTACTTCTGGCAGTAAGCCTTAAGCACAGCCAAGTGTGACCCCACCAAAAATTTAAAAGATTTTATAGGTAGAAAAACACATGAGATCTACTCTTCCTCTCAGAGAAATTTCAAATAAAGTCCAGTATTATAACAATTAACTAAATGTTCTGCTTGGGGTAGAGAGATAGTACAAGAGGTTAAGGCAATTGACTTGCATCCTGTTGACCCTGGTTCAAATTCCTGGCACACCAGGTAGTTTCCAGAGGTCACTCCTAAGCACTGAGCCAGGAATAGCCCCTGAAAAATAACAGGTGAATTCCCCTCAACCTCCCCCATAAATTCTAACAGTTAAAAAAAAATTTTTTTGAGGGGAAAGAAGTTATGACATATACAGCTATACTCATACCATGTTCTTGGCTATGTGCCCAACAACTACCCCAGGCAATGCTTAGGTCAGCTGAAGGACAAGTTTTTTACTCGCTAAACTCTCTGGCCTGAAAGGGCAATTCTTTATTAAAATATATAAACATTCTTAAATGCATTAAAAATAGAAGCTTAATGGATAATGGAATACTTCAAAAGACAAAGAGTTTAGTAAAACTTTACAAAGTGTGAAGGTACCAACGTAGAAAGGCAAAAATTATTCAAGATTAACTTCATTTCAAAACCACAATTTCTACCAAAAACCAGAGAGATAGTACAAGGGCTAAGAAGCTTGCTTTGAAGGCAGCCAAATCCAGCTCAATCCCCAGCACTGCAAAAGGTTTACCACGCTATGCCTGGAGTGATCCACACTATGCACGGTAGGCCCAATCTCCCCCCAAATTTCTGCCAGGGGCCAGAAAGATAGCTCAATAGACTGTTTTGCTGCAGGAGACCCAGGTTTCAATTTCAGCACCATAACGTCCCAAGTACCTCCAAGAACAACCCACTGAGCATGAAGCTGGGGGCACTGCCAGATATAACCCCAAACCAAAAATCAACAAAAATTCTACTAGGATCATTCTGAACATTTCTTTTTTAGAAATCAGACACATCAGACTATTATTCTTCCATATCCCAGAAACTAGATGAGGAAATCAATGAAAACTAACGTTGCAGGGGCTGGAGCAATAGCACAGCAGGTAGGGCATTTGCCTTGCACGCAGCCGACCCGGGTTCGATTCCCAGCATCTCATATGGTCCCCCGAGCACCGCCAGGAGTAATTCCTGAGTGTATGAGCCAGGATTATCTCCTGTGCATAGCCAGGTGTGGCCCAAAAAGGGGGGAAAAAAAAACCCCAACAAAAAAACTAATGTGCCAAATATAAAATAAATTGAAGAAGAAACTAGAGAACCAAGAGTAACTTATTATAAAAGTATCGAGAGCATAGTTTAGCAAATGAATATGCACAGGTAAATGCAAAACAGCAAGCAGCATGATACACAAGCATGTTCTTATTCCCTTTATATAATTTAATTACAAAGAACTTATCTAAATCTATAAAGATCTTTAGTTTTAAATTTCCAATACCTAACTCCTCCTTTAAATTATACTCACAGTTGGAGCAGGAGCCATAATGCTCATTGGCACAGGAATCATTGGGGTTCCTAAAAATAAAAAAATTGTAAAAGATTATATTTAATAGCTATGTATTTATATCAAAGACAAGCCACACAAATCACACATATAATACAAATGGAAATATACGAATTCATAAAAATGACATTGATAAACGCCTCATTTTTCAAAGCAATGGTAGTATCAGGTTCATCTCTAACCAAACTTACATATGAAATGCTTAAAACAGTACAACATGTGCTTCTGCCTGAAGATCATAAAATTATATAGTTATTGTTTCAGTTCCGGGTTTGCTCTCTAAATTCATTGTCTCCACCGAACATGCACCTCGCTTGCTTGCTCCAATGTTTATTTGCTTGTCCATTTCCACTCTGGAGAAGCCTATGTTCTCTCTTAAACACATACTTCTCTGACCTCACATCTTTCTAAATAAGTTTCAATAAACTATCTTGCATCATTAAAAAAAAGAAAAAGCTAAATCTTTCCCCGATAGGTTTCCAAGCCAGATGAAAACTCTTAAAAAAAAAAAAAGTATAATACTGACATCTACAGAATACTAACATTCGGCTACAAAATACATATTATTTTGTATAGCTAATACTGCAATAACCAAATTAAGGGGGAAAAAGCACACAAATACTTACCTGGAGGTACAGGTGGAGGAAAGCCAGGAAACTGTGGGGGTGGGATCCCTGGTGGAAGTGCTGGGATTCCCATTGGAGGGCGATTCAAATGAGGGGGAAAAGACATTCTTACTGCAGCAGTCTAGAGAAAAAAATTGTGACAAATCATTTTATTGGGAAACCTTACAATGTGGTATGCCTGGTTTGTTGTCCTTCATTTTTAGAGTATCTGCAAAATTCTAAAGTTTTCTTACCCAAAGAAGTTGGCAAAGACCCTCTTTTCTCTGTCTGTCCATTGAGAATTTTTTAAACCTTAGATCTTTTCTAAAATAAGTTCCCAAAATGTACAGGATCTAAGTTCAGGATAGACTCCTACAATCATGTGGGAATACATATAAAGGAAGAAAAAAATTTTGAGGTTCAGTTAATATCAAAAAATTAAATACCAAACATAAATGAATCTTTTAAACCAAACTCAGAATCCAGGATGGTATCTAACAGGTTTGTGTTTTAAAGTATTCTGATGCATTAAAAGAAAAAAAAAATCAGCACCCCGAAAACTCAATTTACAAAGTTACACAGTATTTGATGATTCAATATTGGTCAGTTCCTCAAAGACAAATGAATTTGTCAGTACTAACTACAAACCTGGGGCAAGCAGTCACTTAAAAAACTACTGCATGGCAATGAAAAAAAAGTCATGATTTTTCTTAAAAGAAATATCTTATCCAAGAATCATATGTTAGCATTTAATTTTTATAAACAGAAGTTTTATAAACTACTCTGAACTCTTATTATTTGGTCTGGTCTGACATTATTAAAAGAAACTTGTTGAACTTTAAGCATTTAAAAATTTTTTTCTGCGGCTGGAGCGATAGCACAGCGGGTAGGGCGTTTGCCTTGCACGCAGTCAACATGGCCGACACAGGTTCGATTCCCAGCACCCCATATGGTCCCCTGAGCACCGCCAGGAGCAATTCCTGAGTGCATGAGCCAGGAGTAACCCCTGAGCATCACCGGGTGTGACTCAAAAAGCAAAAAAAATTTTTAAAAATTTAAAAAAATAAAAACCTTTTTCTCCCTCCAACTTTTGAGTATTTTTGTCATCATTCTAGAGTCAAAAGATGAAAAAAGTAGAAAAGTGTTAGGATATAATAAGAGATCTGTGTACCAATTTAAAAAGCAGCCAAAATAAGTTGGGTTGTTGTCCTACCAGAGATGCCATTAGTGATTCTGTTTTAACAGGAAGTATTTTTTGATAGACACTAGAAAAAACTCTCCCACCTGCTCTTCATTGATGGAGTCTAAAAATTTGGAGCTTTTAATGTCTTTCTTCTACATTTTTTTTGTTTTATACACTATTTTACTCACCCTTCAGAAGACAGAAGATACACAGTGCATGTCTTCCACTTCCTCGCCCCCTAATCCCAAGTTTGGTATATATCGCTGTATTCTTCTAAATATCTTTCTATATACAAACTAATGTATCATCATTTGTTTTTCTGCGAACAATATAATACTATATTGTTATGTGCATTTCTCCCTGGTTATTAACATCTCTTCTTGTCAGTTTATAAAAGTTCTATACCATTTTTTTAAATGCATAAGAGGCATACAACGACTATTCAATGATACTGATTAGCACCACATTTTAGCTTACAAGTAACGCTGAACTTTATGGGTCATATTGACCATATATACTCCTATGCAGCTGTGCAAGTAAGTTACTCTCTAACACAGACTAAGTGTCTCTGTACCTCCAAAACATCCTCTAGAAATTTAGTATATGGGGCTGGAGCGATAGCACAGCAGGTAGGGTGTTTGCCTTGCATGCGGCCGACCCGGGTTCGATTCCCAGCATCCCACACGGTCTCCTGAGCACCGCCAGGAGTAATTCCTGAGTGCATGAGCCAGGAGTAATTCCTGAGTGCATGAGCCAGGAATAACCCTTGTGCATTGCCAGGTGTGACCCAAAGAGCAAAATAAATAAAGAAAAAAAAACAGTATACAAATTTATATTTCTATCACCAGTACACAGGTATGCCCTTTACACCAATTTCAACATAAGTGGAGTAAATCAATCTCAATCTGAGCCATTTAAAAAATTTTTCTAAACTTACATTACACTGTTTTAAAATGTTAAGAAAGTATATCCCAGGGCAAAAGAAACAGTACAGGAGATAAATAAGGCACTTGCTTCACAATGCAGCCAATACAGGTTTGAAAAGGGAGGGAGGGAGAGAAGGTAAGAGAGAGGGAGGGAGGAGAGGAGAAAAAAAGGGAAAGGGAGGAACAGAGGAAAGGGAATCCAAGCCCTGGGAGATGGATCACTGGACTGCAACAATTGCTCTGCATATGGAAGGCCAGTATTCAATCCTACTTACAGCAGGTCCCTGTGTTCCAGGATAAGAGCAGCACCCCTCTCTCCCAGTACCACCAAGTGAGACGAAAGAGAAAAAAAAAGGGGGGGGATCTGTTCTTTTGACCTGTCTAGAGGAAAGGACACAGGAGAGAGCCTCCAAAACTGATTTGGTCTACTGCCCCATTTTTAGAAACAAATTACTACTCAATGTGCCCCAGAAACTCTTTTTGAGAAAACAAAAAGCATTCCCAGGTTGTACACCAGACTACTAACAACCCCTCCAGATTGTTCTAACATTCCCTAGAGGCTATTATCACCCACTCTGGGAAGCAATTAAAATAAAGCAATATTCTATCAAGTCTAAACTTTCATTTCAAAAACACAGTACACTTAGAATATTTAGATAGGTAAAAAATATTTATAGGTAAATTCCTAAGAGGATTTCATAAACTTAGCAAACAACAAAAATGCTTATTAAGTAGGTATCATAGAAATCTTAAAAGAAAAATAACACAACATTGTAAATGTGACAAATTTTGATTTTTTTTTTTTGGTAATACCTTTTGCCCAAAAACAAAAATTTATATATATGGAAGGAAACACTACTGTATCTCCTTTGAAAACAAAGACAGCTACTGTCCTACTTACAGAAGTTCTTGCATTATCATTATAATACTCTATCTCAGCACTTTCTTAGGAGGGCAGTTGGTATTAATACCTGTTGAATAAATAAATTAATCAATGAATGAATCAGTAAATAACTGAGGACCTCATTAAATAAATTCATTAAGTGTGCCAAATTCTATGCCAGCAATGATCTAATGTCTAATTTCATAATGGCTAGCTACAAAGTTTGGGCCATGAGTTCTTTAGAATCACGTTTTCCCAAACATTAGCTAAAAAACAAAATTTAAAATCATGCTCTTGGTATTGAAACTAAAATTCATTAGTTTCAATTAGTTTCATTTTTAAAATTCATTCTCTACACTGGAGCTGGAGAGATAGCACAGGGTAAGGCACTTGTCTGGCATCCCCTGCTGACACTGGCTATAATCCCTCACACTACGTATTGTACCCCAGCATAACCACGAAGAATCTCCTGAGTGCAGAGCACTGTTGCATGTGGCCCAAAAGAAGAAAAAATGGGGCTGGATGAATAGTATAAAGGATAGGGCATTTGCCTTGCAACAACTGTGTAGCACACAACTGGAATGCTTCAATCCGAGCATTCCATTGCCAGGATTGATCTCTCAGAGCAGAGCCAGAGTAAGTCCTGAGCACTACTGGGTATGATCCCCACTCAAAAAAACCCAAATTGACATTATGCTCAATTTTAGTTTATGCCAGATTAATCATTTCACTTCTAATTTTCTATAAAATTATTTCCCTATTAGGCAAAGGAGATGACTCACAGGAGCAGTGAAAATGCGTTACATGCTGGAGGCCTGAGTTCAGTCTCAAGCAGTGCATGGTCTCCTGCGCACTGCCTGGAAGGAACCCTCCAAGCACCCAGATGAGAACAGTCCCTCAGCACAGCTAGGTGTGACCCCAAAACCAAAAAACAAAGATTGTCCCTTTATTTGAAACTGTTCAGAGCTTGCTTATTCAAAGGCTGAATTATGAGGCAATAAAATACCAAGATAAGCTTATTCTTATGAATATTATTCTTATTCTTTTAAAATCACCCCCTTTGGGGGCTGGAGCAATAGCACAGCGGGTAGGGCGTTTGCCTTGCACGAGGCCAACCAGGGTTCAATTCCCAGCATCTCATATAGTCCCCTGAGCACTGCCAGGGTAATTCCTGAGTGCAGAATCAGAATTAACCCGTGTATTGCAGGGTGTGACACAAAAAGCAAAACATAAATAAATAAAATAAAATCACCCCTTTCTTATGGAAATTCAGAAAAACAACCATTTCTGGTGACCTTTATGATAAATATTAATGCTCACTTTCAACATTTTAAAATAAGAAGCTGGAGAAACTTATACAACCAACTCCAGTTCAATTCCCAGTATGGTATGGTAACCCAAGCACTGCAGGGTCACTCCTCAGAAATAATAAGTGTGCCCCACAATAAAAATCTAGCTCATCTTAAAGTAAAGGTATCAACGCTTTCTGTGTATGTATGATTTGTGGGCCACACCCAGCAGTGCTCAGGACTTACTGCTGCTTCTGCACTCAGGAATCACTCCTGGCAGGGCACAGGGATCATATGTAGTACCAGGGATTGAACCCAGATCAGCTTCACACAAGTAAAGTCCCTACCCACTATACATCACTCCAGCACCTCCACAAAGTATTTCAAGATGCAATTGTATACACTATGTGAAAGTATTATGACTAAATTATAACACAAGCAATGCTTATTTATTTTACATAATACTTATAAACTATAATACTCCATAATAAATTCTTACATTAAAATATCAATAGCAGGGAAGCAAGCAAAGAACAGCTTTAGAAGTCAGTCCTCACCAAGAAGATGACATGTGAACAAAGACTTGAAAGAGGTTGAGAGCAAGACTTTCAAGGAAAGGAAACAACAAAGACAAAGCCTGAGGTGTGCAGAAAGTGTTTGTAAAAGGCCAACAGCTGGAACAATATAAGCAAGAAAAGTTGCAGATAAATTGTGAATGTTACTGGGGACAGGTTCAGAATTGTAGGGCTTCATGAAGCACAGTCAAAGTTTTGATTTTTTACTCTAAATGAGATAGAAAACATTTGAAAGCTTTAGACTTACATTTTAACAGTGTCACTGGCCACTGTTTAAGGTAAAATT